CCCCCCAGTTCCCCCAGCCGCTCCCCAGCAGACCTGTGCTCCAGACCCTGCCCCAGCTCCGTTGCCCTTCTCTGCCCACGCTCGAGTCACTCAATGGCCTTTTTGGGGTGAGGGGCCCAACACTGAACCCCCTCAGCGAGGGGCGGCCTCCCCAGTGCCGAGCCCAGGGCTCAGATCCCTTCCCTGGCCCTGCTGGCCACGCCAGTGCTGACACCAGCCAGGATGCCGTTGCCCTCCTTGGCCCCCTGGGCACACTCTGGCTCATTCTCACCCCCCCAGTCCCTCTCTGACCGGCAGCTCTCCAGCCACTCCTCCCCAAGCCTGTAGCCCCCCTGGGGGTTGTTGTGGCCCAAGGGCAGCCCCCGGCATTTGCCCTCAGTGAAACTCCCCCAGTTGGGCTCAGCCCAGGGCTCCAGCCTGGCCAGATCCCCATGTAGAGCCTCCCCACCCTCATGTTCCCCTTCCTCATTCTGATCTTTGCTAACAAAACTCAAATCACGCTTCAAATTTCTCAAAAGAGAAGGAAATGGGATCAGTGTAGTCAGAGTAAAATGCACAAAAATTAATTCTACCTTTTATTGCTTTCAAGATAGTTAAGATACTGTCTTAAATCTGTTATAACCAGTTTATGAAAATAAAATTAAAATATAATCCATTCTTGAGCCCGATTGTCCTTAACTGCCAGAAAACTTTCTCTACATTTTCCAGATGGATTTGCTGCCTCTTAACTTGAACATGTTACTGTCAAACCTCAATTCCTACATCATGTGTCCTTAGGCAACCAAGACAAGCCAGTTACCAACATGAAATATTAGTATCAATGAAAAGACATCTCCTACCTGGGATGTCTTGCTCACTTGCTCTGTCTTCTCTATCTCGGTTTGCAGCTTTTTCCTCTCTTGCTCGAGCTCCCTCACTCGCTTCTGTAGCTTTAGGAAAACTGTCATGTCCATAGCAGCTTTCTCCACCCCAATCTCAGGAGCCTGGCAAAAAAGAGAAGACCCCGGTTAAGTTTTATAACCATACACAGTGCCAGATACACCCTGACAGTATATCAGCACCAACCCCAGCCACAGACACTAACAGGGGCTAAGGCAGGCATGAACTTTCAAAGACCCCCTTCAAACTCCCCATTTTAAGCACTTATTTTTAATGTCAATAAACAGCTGACTCATTTTATTACATCACTGAATGTTTAACAGCTCAATAAATAAGTGGGCTGACAGGGGCCACAGCTAAGAACATTAAAAATGCCCTACTAATCCCTCCTAGCCAAATATTTATTAGTTGTTTTTTAATTTGCTTCACCCGGAATATTTTATATTAGGGCATGGCCAGTGCTGATTACTTTGACTTTAGCAAATGCTCTCAGAGCAGTTCAGAACTACTAAAGCAACGTAACAAAGCAGCCAGCAAAGGGAAGTGCGGGTTGCTGCAGGCATAGTTATGGGGGACACAGAATACAGACCTGCCACTGGGGTGGCAGATTCTAGGAACATCCATCATCCATGCATGCTCTCGAGTCAGGAAAGTGGAGTTTAAAAAGCAGCCTAGTCTAGCAAATGTAAGCAAAAACCACATTTCCCTTTTCCACCTGATTCTTGATAGCCAGGGAATAATTTATGCTGCTCTTTTCTGCATTAAGAGACGATTACAGAGGCTGTGCTGGCCAGCAAAACATCTGTAAAGACGCACTGGAATTAAAACATTCAGGGTAATGAACTCTGTTATCCTTGCAGAAAAGAACGGCTAAACAGTCACTGCCATCGGTGCTAGGAATAACTACATGTAACAATGCTGACCCCTTCGACGGACCTTCATCAGTCTTTTTAAGCTGGCAGGGCCAAAACCCAACACTTAATTATATTTAGAGCCCCATTTAAGTCTGACCCCACAAAGGAGTCAGCATTTGCTACAGCATCGCAACCCTGCAATCCCTCTCGCACAATCAACAACAAGGTGTTTCTGTAGCAGGAAATCAGTTCAACCCCTCACGCTATAGTCCAGCCTGCGTTCCTCCTGCGTGCCCCAAGACCCACATCAATCATCCCCATGGAGCAGGCTCTCCTTCCCTCGAGCCTGCCCGATTTACTGTACCTCCATTTGCTGTATTACATCCTCGGTGTCTCCTATCTCAGAGGTCGATGCGGATGGGTAATTGGAGTCGGACTCTAAACTGCTTTGGTTGGATGGGCTTCTTCTGTGCCCTGCTGTTTGCTGCCAAAGAGCGATGCAGATATAGAATGCTTTCAGTGTCTGAGGAAGGATTCCTCACAAAGCATTGTTTCTTAGAGCAAATACGTGTCTATGTATTAAGCTTACCTTTACAAAAGCCTTGACTGTCACCTTATAGTGAATTCCATTTTCTAGTTCATATGCCCTACTGTAACATTCCTCTTAACACAGAGGAATAGTTTACAATAAAATGTGAAGTGATACAAAAGCTCAGTTTAAAAATTCTGCACAAATTAAAGCTTTTTCATAACACCAGATTCCTGTGAAGTGTGAACACGCAAATCTGAGCTCAAGCTTATGCTGTTTACAGCATCCTCTATGGCTCCCTTTAAACACTCAACATTGCACCTAACCCAGCATCACTCTAATAATTTTCCAACAGTTCTTCCAACACTTCAGCATAGCTGAACCTTAAAAATTTGCCTTTTGAAATTCTGAAGTCATGTTATTGATTTGTTTTGTTTTGTTTTTGCAACCCAACACCTATGCAGGAACATCACTGGAACAAAAAGCAAACCAAGAAGCATGACCCAGCTTTTGCTCAGATTCACAGATATCTTTGTAGTTAACAGAGAAGCGTGAAAGATCAAGCTCCTTTCTGAAGGCAGACATATGGTTTGGCTTCCGTGTACAAGTTCATTGTAAGTTCACTCACATTAATGGCAGTTCTATTGTTTTGGGGATGAGTGAGGCATGTTATCCAGCCACCAACCTCAGGTTCAGGTCACAAGAGAAAAAGGAATCATTTCACTTTTGTTACCTTCATAAGAATCATTTCATCCTGCAAGTTGTCATACGAATGCTCCAGCCTCGAATACTCTTTTACCAGGTTCTGGTAACGAGACCTCTCTTCTTCCAGCTCTTTCTTCATCTGGCCATTTTCCTCAATCATGCTTTGTGTAAATCCGTCTTTAAAATAAGAAAAAAAAAAAAATATGATCTTCATCTCTGAAGTGAACTTCCTGTAAATATCTGAAATAACAGTGGCTAATTAATAAAATGCTCTCAGCTGAGAACTTTTAAAATACATATAAGCATTCTCTAATATTTAGAGACTATTATAATTTAGATCTGTCTCCTTGCCATTTGGAACAGCTTGAGCTCTCCTGCTCAGAGAGCAGAGTCCTCTGCCCTTTGAGTTAAAGAAAAATTGCCAGCACCTACAAACTATGAGATCAGTCATGCTTAACTTAACTATGCCAGCGCCAGCTCCCACAAGCCAGCCATAAACCCACTTAAGACCAGACCAGCACAGTACAGAAATACATTAATGTCTAAGTGCCTTTGGTACTCGCTGCATTTAAAGACTTTTCTGCCTGTTCCCCACCACCAGATTTGGCATAGAAGCAAATCAACAGCAGCATCCCTTTCCCATGTCACCATCAACCATTTACCATGGTAAGACTTGGGGGGTTGAAAGTATTTTATATCTAAATACATTATTTCTTGTTGTTAAAAACATACTTTGGAAGAAAATCTGGTTCCTCCCTTTTTTGAGAAACCATGCAAATATAGTCCGTGTGTTCTTTTAGAAGGGTGAACACCAAACAAAGCCCCTCCACTTGGTTTCCTGGAGCTTCAATGCTTCCAAACCATCCCATAAGAGAAAAAGAAATATTTGCAGCAAGTTTCTTTTTAACATGTTATTTTCCTTCCTTTATTTTGCATTGGGCTAAGAACAAAGGGTACTTCATGAGTACCACAGAGCAGTGATAGATACAGCCACAGAATGATGCATGATGCTCTCTGTAAATCCTGCAACAAAATAAAAGCTGAAAAGGATGACAAAAAATATAAAAGCTCAATACATGCATGAGAGTTTCCTTCTCTCTTAGGATTTTCCCAGATTACTTTCTTCTATGTATGTCTCACCATTTAAGTCTCTGCTTTAAAAAACACTCACAGACAACTGTCACATTACAGAAATCCTTTGTCACAGCTTAATATTGTTAACAGTGCTGTTCCTTGGATCCTTTGTTCATCCATCCTGGGATGTTGTCACTCTCCACCCCCAGCAGCCTCCCTGCCTCCTGCACCACTGGCAGTAAATGCTGTGACAAAACTGAACTAAAAAGCCCTTTTAGGTACTTTATTCCATATTTCGCCAATTAAATCAGCTTCTGTCTTACCAACCACCAGCAGAACAGCACGAACAGAACTACCTGCACAACTAAACAATGACAGAAACCACCAGGAAGAAGGGGTGTGGGAAGATAACACTTTTCAAGTTAAGAAAAGCACACAGGATAAACAAGTTTCAGGGGAGAACAGGTAAGCTCCTTGTTTAGGAGGCATTATGATGCTATAAGCATTTTTTCTCACCTTCATATTGATACAGGTACGTGCTTTTTTCCTGCTTCAGGAGAGCATTTTCTTCTTCCAAGTCAGATATACGCTACAAAACAAGGCAAAGAATTACTGCTTGCTGCAGGTCAGAGCCTTTGCAGAGGGGTTACATTTCACCTGGCTTGAGACAGGGAGCTTTGTTTGGGCTTTCTTTGCTGTTCAAAAGATCTATCCCCTTGTGCTTTGCCAGTTATCCTTTGTACATCAGGAGCTGAAGCGTAGCAGAGCTGCACTGCAACAACAGAGACTAACTTTGCTTTTCCTGAGTGAATTTCTCCCTGAAATTAATGTTTTCAGCAGAATCTTACAGAATACTAAGAAGCTGGACTTGGCAACCATGATCTGCAGGAATGAAATTCCTGCAAGTGATCAGGATATCAACTCAGAATTTTATTTCCACATCTCAAGAGGCCTCTTTTGCTGCCTTCGAGTCATAGCACTGTCTGCTGTTGGGGGAAAAAAAAAATAAAATCTGCTGACTGTTTCAAGCAATGTGGCACTTAAGATGGGCACAGGGAATGTGAACACTAATACTAGACAGTTCGGGCTTTTTTAAATTGTTGTATATTAAATCATTTAATACGATTACAGCCACTTAAATGCTTCACACTGCTGCAGAACCTCTAGCACAGTGAAGCATGGCATGTACCAGAGCCTTTGGTAATGTAACAGTAGCATATGCAGCAATTAACACCGATGATTGCCTAGCAAAAATTAATGAAAACAGAAATTAAATCTTGCAAAATTCTATTTTATATATTTTTAAACTACCTCTTTATTAAAAATGGCCACTGGTCACAACAACGTGGCTGGACTGATGCTCACAGCTACCTATCCTGGAATTCTGATGCATTCAACAGTGTTATCTCTAAACACAAAAACACCACATTACCAAGTGAAATATGCTGCTACAGTTAAACAGGATGATTCTACTGCTGTCAGGTGGGAAACAAACTGACGCATCACCCTCGTGTAATGTCATTCCCTGTGCCTGCTCCATCACATCCTCTAGCCACAGCATAGGAAAGAGCTCCACACAGCAGAAAAATTTCAAGATGCCAAAGATAAACACCACTGTACACACCCTAACAGAAGTTTTCAGTGCCCAAGAATAATAATTTTGCTGCCACCACTAGAAAAAAATTACAGGCAGCCCAGCTGGCATGCATTCCTAGCACAGACTTCAGTCTTCCACACAAGCATGATCAAGTCAAGGTATTTTATTCAATACTGCATATGCCAGCATGGGAATGTAACAGAAGACTGAGGAGGAGTGTAAACACATGCAAGTGACTTGCAGCTGGGGTGTCAAAACCCACATATATTATACTCGTTGTTTAGTTTTGTGTGCTTGATGTCTGCGTTTAGACAACACAGGCCTGGGGGAGGCTCAGGGGCACCTTAGTGAACATCCTTGAGATTCCTGCTCTGCTGTGGGAAAGATCAAAGCACACTGTGAAAATCCCTGATATCTACAGGCGAAAGCAGCAGGTTCAAGATCTTTTCTTCCTTTTTCTGTCTGGCAAGGACCGAGCTCTGCACTGCCTGTGTCCCCGCTTGCATGCCTCTGCCTGGGTGCTGCTGGAGGACCAGGAGATCCCCTGGGTCCTCTTTACATTTCACCAGTGGTTTTGTGGCTCTTCCTGCACACTACCTGTGTTCACACAGCCAGATACACATTAATGGTGAGGATTAAAGCACAATGAATATTTTACTGGAAGTCACAACTGAAGCAGTCATACCCTGAGCACAGAAACTAGAAGACCCCACTACCCCTCGCTCTCCGCTCATTTACTCCAGCTCTCTGCATCAGACTATAACCTCCTGCATCTCTCTCTATACATGCAATAAGAAGGTTGGAGTTTGGAGATACAGTTATGAAGTGAAGAAAACACAAACTTAAGATATGCAGAGCTACTGGTGTTTTAAATGCTCTGAACTGAGACACAATTTTAATGTTCTTGTACCAAAATCAACTACATTCCCTCATTTGTACATCACTTCAAATAAACATCACAGAAGACATGCAGCGATTAGGTCAGCACTAGTGCCTTCAAGTTCAGACGAATTCTTAAAAAATTGGAGAAGGGCTACAAGAGTGATGGAAAGGAAGGAAAACCTGTGCTGCAATGGGACAGCAAGGAACTTCACTTGTTTATCTCATCAGGGAAAAGATTAAATGCAACAGCATTACTTTACCAGTGCTCTTCAGTGGGTGCTGATAATGAACTCTTCTGCCCAGAGGACAAAGTTATGACAGAAGGAAAACAAAACAAGACAAACATTTGAAGTATTTTCAACCCCGTTGGGGGATATTTTAGAACCAAAAGACTTGGTAGAATCCCAGGTTTAAAAATTTCTAACCCAGATTGGGTATAGATGTTTTTAAGATGTGATTGAAGTAGTTTATCACATCCACGTTTCCACCTGAAAGAGCAGCAAGCTGTAATTCAAACCCAATGAGAATAAAAACAATCTATTAAACACGGGTAGAGGCAAGTGGAGCAGGTTACACAATGGCCAAACAGCACAAAGTCCATCTCTGGTACCTACGCTGATACCTTTTGTATCCCTTTGTCATCTTTTTATAGAAAACAGACGTTTGAAGGTGCTTCAAATGCAACAGTACCTGCTTTGAAGGATTTCTATGGAAGATGTTGAGCAGTGAGCACTCATGAGGGCTTCAGCCCTTATTTAAGTGTTACACTGGAACCACCTGCTCATGAGATCTGGCTCCAGGGCTCACCTGATCTTGTGAGGAATGGATGATGGCATTTAGGATTTTCCTAATAAAATTCCTGGCCCAGCTTTGAATCATCCGACTTCATAGTGAGAAGATTAGGTGCTACCAAATGCTGTTGGAAGAGCTGTTGGTACTCACCCAGATCTGACGTTTTAAACTTTATCGCAAAACAGAGTAAGAAGAGCTATTCTAAAATTAAGGAGTTGGAGAGAAAAGCTATAAGGCAAGAGATTAAAGTACTTTTTTTCAGTAACAAAATCATAATCAGTATGGATTTGCAGAAACTGCAGCTCCAGCTCCAATCGATATAATGAAGGCTGTTGTCTCAGTCTCACTCAGAAGTGTCTGATGACTTTAGGTATCATCTCCAGGGCAAATGCATCCCACTACAACCATGGCCATGGTGTAATCTTGATATTGAAGGTAAAAGTGCTTCTCGCCTGAATTCAGTTTCATGACACTTCCCACACTTTCAGTAGTTACTAGAACCACCCAAAAATCTCTATTAGACTTTTTCTCAGAAAGTGTTTCGGCTAAATGAATGTTTCCAGGAAGAAAACAGGTCTTCTCTGTCCTCCCACCGACAAGGAACTGAAGGGAGCAATTGAAAGCTAATGTCAGAAATGGGAGACTGCACTGCTCAGAAGAAATGCTTTGTTTTATAATTAAACCAGCTATTGTCACGGTAAAGTCCACAGTATTAACTATGCTGTAGCCAATTCTACAACAAAGGAAAGATTTTGCTTTGTTTCCATGCTTTTTGAAAGCATTTCTTTGGTCATTAAATCAACCTTTTTTTCCTGACTGCTCGAAGGGGATTTGCAATCAAGAACAAAGAGTGGCAGTTTTTCCCCAGCTGCATCACCTTCAAAATAAAGCATCCTTTCAGTCTCTAAAAGCCTGTGCTGCAGTCAGCTAATGAACTGAGCCCTCTGCCAAAAAAAAGATCTTCTAATTTTGTGCTGGACAAAGGAAAATCACTGATTCCATACATCCCTGCACGGGTGCAATACATGTGCAAAGAGTGGAGTAACTGTTTTCCTGACAGCTCTTGGTCCAGCCGAGAGACCAGAGGTGCACAGGGTGAATGCCCTTTTGAGAAGCACCCAAAAATGCATTTCAGCTGTGCTAGTTGTTCAGATGAAGTTATCCTGACCACACAGTCCCCAGAGCTACTCACCACACCCACTATCCGGGGGTTTATGCCCAAGGGGTGGTTGGCCAGGGCAGGTGCTGCTGGCTGAAGTGCTCTAGAAGGGCCCCATCTGGGCATTCTCCCACCATAACAAAAAACGCAGCAAACCCCAGATCTTTTTTTTTTTTTTTTTTTTTTAAATCTCCAAAAGCAACTCATCTTCAGGTTGTCACACAGAAAGTGCTGTTCTAGAGTAAGAGCTGCAAAGCATCTTTTTTTCTATGCAAGTATTGGCTAGGAAAGTCCTAAGCTCTTTCCAATATCAGGATCGAAGAAACCACTTCAATTGTCAGTGCAGAAGAAAGATCACAGATCTAACCTGAGCAGTCACAAGCATTCGCAGCAGGAACTAATCCCTTCACCTTAGTGCCTTAGGTTATAAGAATGGGTATGAAGGTTATTCAGAATGAACTTGAACAGCAAAGAAATTAAGGGTAAAAGGTAAATTTTTACTACTTGCAAAAACCCTCTACACTCTGAAGTCTCTTCCTTCCACTACAACACTTTCCTGTACAGTGGTGGCAGCACTGGACGACGTCCACCTCAAGAGATCCAGAAAGTATAGGAGCTTGCATGAAGGAGGAGTTAAAAAAAATTAAAATAAAAATGTTTAGTGTTCATCACAGCTCTGAATCCTATCGAGGCTCGTAACAACCAGCCTTGCTGGTGTTGGAGTAACACCTCTGCTCGGGAGGCACGAGTTAGTCTCCTCACAGGTCACACTGCATATACCTACAACACCAGTCACTAAAACCAGCTGCAGTGGCCATGGACTGCATGGCAAAAGCTGAGCCCTCATGATCCACACCAGGCTGGGCTGAGGAAGGACATCCACCTCATATTTATGAACAGCCTTCTCCAATATTTTGCACAAAGCCACGAAGAATCACTGTACATACACAAAGCTCTGACATATCCATGGTTATTAAGTGCCCTTGTTTCCAGACAGGCCTGGGCTCGGGGAATTTCTTCATGCGTGGCAGTGCAAAAAGCATCCAGATGGGATATCCTCCTGACATGGGGCAGCTGCTGCTCCTGCAGGGATGTCCACCTGCCCTTGCTGCCCCATGACCTGGTCAAAAGGCAAATTCTAGGGGCATTCAGTGACAAAAAGAAAAAATCCTATTTAAAGAATAGAAATTCTTTACCTTTCAGACTTAAGAAGAGTGAGCTTTCGCCAGTACAACCATCTGCAGGAGACCTGCACAACGTGAGATGTGACAAACAGACGTACCTTTCTCAGTAGGTCTTTCTCCTTCATGTAGGTGTCTTCCACAACCTTCCTCTCGCCATGAGCTTTTTCAAGCTCCAGCCGGAGGTGCTCCAACTCTTCTTGAAAGCTGAGAAGCTGGCTGTCATCACCCTGGTGGCTCTGTTTATATTGCACCAGTTCCTTCTTCAGCTTTTCCACCTCGGAGGAGTGGGCAGATGTGAGGGCAGAGAGCTGCTCGTTCAGAAGCTTGTATTCCTTGTTCTGCAGCCAACAACCCAAAAAGAAGAAAATACTTTCATAAATGAGACTGCTGCATGCACTATGCACTACAAAAGTAACTGTTAAGAATCCTTGAGCATGGTGAGTAATAAACTTCTGATAATGAATATTTCCATGCATATGCTAACAAAGCTAAAAACAATTTCAAAACTGTGACAAAAGCTCAGTAATATTTTGGTAATGATCATACAAGCATTCATTAAATTGATGTTACACTTGAAGCAATGGTAAACAACGCTTGGTAACACTGGCATCCAAACAAAAAACTACACTTTTATTACAGCTTCCAAACAACGTAGCACAATACAATTGGTTTGCAATTTTTTTTTTTTTGGTCTGTAATATTGGGTTTGCAGTTTATCCTTTTATTCCTGACTCCTGTGCCCACAGAAACCTGGGGTGACAATGCACCATAGCATAATTGCAGCCTCAAGCCCAAAGAGCTCCTTAAACCCCAGCCTTAAGTCATATGTCAACCCAATCACCTTTTTATTTGCTCAGATCTTCTATTTTAAAGCACTTTAGCAATGATTTGCTCCCAAGTTTTAAGACCTCAAAATTCAGCAGCCTCATTTGATTCTTGTGGTTCAAATCAAAGTCAACGGGAACTACACTGTAACTAATAAAGCATCATCATTATCAGCCAGCTCCAGAAATAACAGTGAATTCACAACAGACCGAGAGCTTCAGTAAAGAGCCTACCATGTAGTTTTTGCTAACATTAGGTAGATAATTACAAAAGTAAAAGAACTGTTCTGAAATTTGAAGTGTAGTCTGTTTTTTAAAGTTTCCTTTTTGACACCTTTCAATACAGCTTTAAAGATCTGGGCTCACTGTACCACAGATCCAAAAGGCTTTCCTTTCTGAGATGGGACTTGGGTAGGTATTTCACTGATGTATCAGAAATATTAGGTTTGGCCTTTCCTGATCTTGCTGAAAAAACATTTGGCAAGAGACTGTTACCCAGACAACATGAACTGGTCATCTGCAATTTAGCCTTTTGCTGCTTCTCAGAGCTTTGGTCACCAGCAGTGTTACAGCAGCTCATGAGAAACTGCTCCTTCCACCCAGAAGTTTTTGGTTGTTGTGGAGGCTAAAACAAACCTTGAGATGAAGAAGCCAAAAACTGAAAGTCTTAGAGGACACAAATGTATAACTTCAAAAGATCAATGGACTAGAGACCTGGTACACAGGTTTTGACCGTTCAGGATAAGCAGTAAAGTTGCTAAGTCACAGGTCCTGAGATGCAACTTCTTCCTCTAAGATGTTCACCAGAGCCAAGCAAGGAAAAAATTTCAATGCAAATAATATGATCTATCTCTGTAATAGGGTCCAGGACTCCCATTAGCTCCTGTACAACAGAGTTAGTTTTCAAAGAATTTTATAGCCTGGCAAAGGAAAAAACACCCATGAAAGTAGAGAACTTTATCATCTGGGTCTACACAGGTTCCTCCAGACCAGACAGGCCCCTGTACAAAGGTGAATCGGTGGATACTGAAAACCCCACCCATACTTCGGATTAGTCTCTCTTAGATTCCCAATGTGGATCACAGGATCCTTTCTTCTACTAGTGCTCTGATCAGCCTTTTGTCCCCCCTCCAGGTGACCTCCCAAAGCATTCCTCTCTCGCTGCAGTCTCAGCACTCCCAAGCAAGATTAAGACACATCTCAAAATTGAAAACAAGTAAATGAGAGAGATTAACATATTTCCATTTGCTCCCCTGTAACGAATTATTAGTGAATATCAAAATTCAGTGTGTGTTATTAAGGAATTAACATTTCTGCATGACCCAAGCCATATCCAAAGAGATCCATTCAGAGAGAAAAGCTGCACAGAGAATGGCAATAATCACTCCGGTTCACAAATTTCTGATGCTTCCTTCAGTCTATGCTTATTCTGCCACACACAACATTTCACGGCTTTGTGTCCCAAGGTTTAGGTATATGATATTACATAACAGCCAACTGAGATTTCAACTCAGGCACAAGATAAATGCATAGGAATTATTTTTCTTGTTATTAGCTGCTAGAGGCATGAGAGAACATTTACTGTGTTGTACCAAAATGACTGGTCCCCGCTGCAATGGGAGATTGTTCACCAGACCACGTTAAACTTGAACGTGGTTTATTTTAAATCATTGTTTAAATGATTTATAGAAATCATTTCTATATGTCACATATAGAATGTGACAGAGCTGTGACAATCCTGGTTTCCACTCTGGTTCTGTGAACTGATCTAGAGTTTACTTTGCTACCAGCAGCAGAGGCAACAACTTCATCACTACTGTTACCCAAACTACTTTTATTTACAATAAATTCTCACAGAGATGCTGTCGCTTGCAGGGACAGCATAGAGAGCTTACTGTGATCCTAATACTGGCTGCACAAACACGTAACACCAAACTAGGTAACAGCCTTAGAAGTGTCTCAGGCAGCTACAACATACACATTTGAAGAAACTCACTTAACTGGAAAGAAAAATAAAATTAAAAAAAGAAAGTGGTCCAATGTGGATATATATAAAAGTGGTCCAGTGTAGATATTTTGCAGCAAAACAGATTTAAACCTTTCTTGTGTGTGCAAAAAATCCCTCACCTGACTCAGAAACTGAATTAAATAGGCCCAGTTATGGATGTGGGCTGAGGCTGACGTACAATAATAGGTTTTAAAGTTTTCAAAGAAAGATCATCTCTTCCTCAGGGGCACATGGAGTATTGCATCTCTCTATTCATGCATGAGCTAAAGTGGCAGAAATAGAAACATTTTCTTCCACAGTCAGAAAATGATACAACTGCAGCTCTCCAGGTTGCCTGCAATTTTTTTATTTTTTTTTTCTTAAATTAATTGGCATTTTGAAAGGTCATGTTTATAGATTAGCAAGGATTGAAATCAAGATACTTCAGGGAAGCTATGATGCAACAAACTCACTGCTGCCAGAAAACAAAAAAAAAAAATCCAGTGCACTGAAAAGAAAGTCTACTGGAACGGTGCTCATTAGCAGTTCTAAAGCATCCCAGAGAAACCTGTCAGTCCTGAAACAATGGTTAAAATTAGATCACTGGACGGATTACCACCAGTAATACAGAGCAGCAATTCCTTCCTGCAAAAGTTACACAGAAAGCATCAAAGTAACTCCTTCAAAACCGTCTGCCCAGAGACCAGGGGAGATCAAGACAAGCTCCAGCCCATTATTTCTGCCTACTTAAAAGCTCTCCATGGCTCCTTCCCTAAAGCAGACCTTTATGCTGCTTTCATAACCCACAACAGGAAAGCCCACATTAACCAAAGATTGGTTTTGCTTTATTGTTCCACCCCCATACTTTTTCTAGCAGCAAATGACAAGGAATTGAGAGGAAGAAAAAAAAAATAATTAATACTGCTGCTCCACCACCAAGTCCAGCAGCTCAGCAGACCTACACAGACGTTCATGCTCCCTGCATGAGTTAAGTCCAAATACATAGACCTGAAATGATTCATACTCATTAATTCCACCAAATACCCCCCAGATGAAGGGTCATATCAAACAGGTTTCTGATATATAAATATATAGAAAACCTTACGCCCAAGATTTTCCGTTCCTAAGCTATGGTTTGCCTGCAAAATATAAGTATGCAAAAGGAGGCGTTTTAAAATCAAACACAGGGGTTTAAAAGTCAGGCTCTACTGCGGTGTGTGGTTTGCAGCCAGCTAATACAGCAAGGGAAGCAGCCAGCAGTAAGGCAAATCCCTGGGTGCCTTGACTCTGCAGTATCGAAGCCAACGCAGAGTCATTTCTCATCTTCCTCCTGGCAGGACCTCTCGTGTCATACGGGGATAGGAGAGATTTAAGGCAGCGAGGAAACCGCCTGGGACATGTAAGCATTCCTGACAACATCTGAAACTCAATGATAAACTGAAATTCCTGATACTACAAATAAGGAGGTATCCTGACTTACAGACAAGGTTTCTGCTGCCTGTAAAAGGGCATTTTAAGGATATAGGTGGATATTAATCTCTCCATTAATGTTAGTGGATAGAACTGGGACCTACTCCGCCATTCTTATCCCTGAAGGCCTTGTACAGCACTGGGAAGCAACAGTGACGGTATTTATCAGCGTAACTTGCACACTCATGTTGGTAGGTGGGAAAACCCTCCTCCTGCACGTAATCAAACAACTGTAATCAAACAACTATTCTGCAGCTCATTAATGACAAGAGTGATATGATGAAGACCTCTCTGTGATCAGGTTGTCAGAGTGAGACCTTCAAGCCATCCACACAGGTATCCATCACTTAGGCTGCGGCATCTCACCCATCATCATGGCTCTTGCTTCTGAAGAGCTGTTATATCCAGTAAGACAATCATGCTCAAACTACTTGGCAAAGTGAGTACTTACCCAATTTAGCGTTTACCTTCCAGGTGATGTGAAAAGACATACAGTTCAGTACCACAAACTGTGGCAGACACTCTGCATCCTCAGTGCTTGAAAAGCAGAAAGTGTAATGGAACAATCCAGCCCAAAGCCTGTTTGACACAGGGATCTCACATGGAGATGGTTTGGGTTTTCAAGCAACAGCTTTCAAAACTGCCATTTTATCTTCCTCCTCTAAGACCTTCTGTGCACTTTTCACCACAATTACAATGCAGTTTTTGCAGCTTACTGAGCAAGCTCTTCAGACAATGAGGTGGAGACCCAAGATCCAAGTGCATCTGCAATTCCGTGGCGGAGTCCCACCCTTACAAGGGTCTGGCCAGCAGTACCAGAAGGCTGCCACCACCATGATATCCTTCCCAGACATCATAGGAAGATAAAATCCTTCCTAGGAAGGACAACAGAAGAAAGGCAAACCAGAACCAGGACCACATGTGTCCCAGCACAGCTCAGGACGTACCTGCTCATCAATCTTCCTTTGAAGCTGGACCACCTTGTTCTCCATGCCAATGTTGAGCTTTTTCAGGTGCTGAGCTGAGCGGGCCTCGATCTTCAGTGCCTTCAGCTCCTGCCTGGCCTTCATGCACCGGTAGTAGCACTGCAGGACGATGGTGGCACTCCTGATTCGGTGGAAGTGAGTGCGGGCCAGCCAGCCACGGGCGTACTTCTGGAGGATGGTGGCTTTGTGCTCCACGAGGATCTGCAAAACATGGGCAGAAATGGGACAATCAAAGGAGAAAAGTTACCTGTAAAGGTAGAAGCAGTCCTGGTTTGCCTGCAACATGGCACTTCACTCTTTTTACTCTGCCTTCAAAAGGGCTTCTCCTCCAAGCAGGAGTGTCCTGCTAGGTGCAGGGGGCGATGGCTGGAGACAGAGGCTGCATCCTCTTTCATAGACAGCAAGGGGTACTTCCATCCCTGCTCCTGGGGAGTTTTTCCAGTCACTGCACTCAACTGATGCAGGCAGAACACTTACAGTCCTCTCCTCAGAGCCATACTTCTCTCTAAAAAGAGTCAAGACCTGCTTGGCCAGTGAAATGAGGGGATATGGTCCTGGCTAGTGAGTAGAGGACTCGATGGGGACAGGGGACATCTGGGCTCAAATGAGAAACTTCATGGATCACCTCAGAATAGTGCTTAGAGCCACAAGATCCACAGACAGCAGAATAAAATAGCCATCAGCAGACACACCAACACTTAGCAATAAACTTACAGTCCCTTCAGCATCAGATATAACTCACACCAGAACAGGTTTGCAGATTTTTTTCTGTGTTTCACCCCTGCATTATGGTAAGTTATACTGCAGATAAATGCTGTCCAGGTGGTATTTCTCATCATGGGGATAACCTTCAAATAAACCCTGGAGTCCTTTCATCACAGCCTGCAGCCAATTCTCTTGCATGATTCGATTTCTAGAAACTTACATCTGGTTTTCTGAAAATTCTGGCACTTTTGCATTGAATTTCTTATGAAAACTTTATAGCAATCTTTTCCATAGGTGGCAGTTCATTCCTTCCTCTAAAACTGAAGGCTGACATATTAGAGATAAACCAGTATGCTGTTAATAAACTTCTTATGTTGATCTATGCTGCAGTATTTTGAGGAAATAAATAGCAGGAGGATTTAAAGATTACGAGACACTGCTGTTCTTAGTTTGGAGTAAGTTGATTCACAAAAGGTACCATATCAGCTTCTCTTACAAACTCGTTTCTTCCTAAGGCTTTCTTTGCACTTGCAAATTTTAATTCAGAATAAAGGGACTGTGTGAACTTAGGATACAGCAGAAGTTACTCTGAAATGAGCTTTGTATGCCTCCAGCCTTGGCACTCTTACAGACGGAGAAAGCTGGAGGTGCCCAGAGAGCTAGAAGAAACCCTACTGCACTGCCTGGGAGACCTATTCCAGACTCACAGCAAAGTTTTGGTGGGCACTGGGCATGCCCCGACCTCATGGAACATCACCTGCTGCCCTGCATCTGTTGCTGAGAATGCCCTTGAACAGACATTTATATCCAACACCTACATCCAGGTGCTCCAGAGATTAAGGATGTTCAGATTTGAGAGGCCTGACCTTCAGACAGCTTCTACGCATTGTTAAGATTTTGGGTCACCTTGAATCTCAGAGAGTTTCAATGCTGGACCAGCTGTCTCCCCTGTAGAGGCTTCTGATTTAAAAAACAGATGATGAAAAACAAGTGGCAGCAAAATTTCTGATCACCAGCATGCAGCTGCTCTGTTTTGGAGGACATCCCTAATCTCTCTGGTGGGTCACCAGGTGTCCAGGTAACCTACATCATCAGGAGCAGCCTCTCCTGTCCTGACTCACTGTGCCTCAGACTTCGTGACCACAATTAGGTGTCAATTTAGGTGGCTACCAAAGTAAGGCTGGGTCTGAGTAGTGGACAGAAGATTCCCCAAAGCTGTTCTCGGTTTCCTGACACTGTATCATTTGTTGCCATCAAACCTTCACTTCCTTGCTTTCAGCTCCTGGTTTAACACAGAAAGCTAATGGAGAGAACTAATTAAAGAGGTGTTTATATCAATACATGACCTGATGCCTTCCATGACAGACCCTACTGGTCTTCCTACCACACTAGAAACAGTACTTGCAGCACAGCTCAGACACAAATTCAGTTTGCCAGGGAGATTTTTGCAGAGTGTTAGATCAAATGACATTTCCAGATTTCCTCAATGCCTTCCGGCATCCGAATGATTAACTTTATTTAGCTGTTCTGCTGAGGTGCTGCTGCCAAAATCAGTTTTGCTTGCACAGCTTTAAATGGCAATGCTCACTATCACCGTGTGCTCTCCAGAAACGCCAGAGGCTGTCAGCTTTGTAAAACATCAAAACATCAAATACATCACCGTGCTATGCCAGCAGAGGTAAACATAAAGGCTCTTCCTACTCTCTTCTAATGCAAAGAAAGTTCGTGGAGTCATACCTTGTGATAAATCCTCCTGACAAACATGCCCCGAGCAAAAGCCTGAATGGTGATGGTTGCGCTGCGGATCCCCTGGAAAGCTCGGAAGATCCGCAGCATTCGGTACTGCTTCTGGAAGATGATGGCAGCTCTCGTCCTCCTCAGGTGCTCAGCAAGCCTGCAAAGCATAGGGAAAAGATGAGCACTAAAACTAAACTCCCCTTCTTTCTGCTGTAATAAGTTTTAAACTGGACAGAGAGAATAACCTTTTGTCCAAAAGTAGCTTGGCGGTATTCAGGAAAGACAATCCCAGCAGTAGGGCTGAGATAAGAACAGCAGATAGCATGTCTCCGATAGAATAATGGGAACACACATGCACTCAGACAGCATCCATGGCCCCCAGGAGCACTGGAACCAGACATCAACACACCTCATCTTTCATAAACAGCGTTAAAAACAAGTGTTTCCCAGCTTTTCCCTTGGTTTGAACACTCTGCTGAACGTGCTCAAGCTAATCAACGTCCAGGTTGGCTCCATCACTTCCCTGACTACAAAAAGAAAGCATTGCATGGGTCATCTACCGGCTCAATAAAAACAGCAGCAAATTGATTTGACATTCAAGGCAGTGCGCACTGGTTTGGCAACATTCACGAGCAGAGCCCCAAGCAATTCAGAGAGTAAATAATGAGGGACGTGGTCAATTCTGTGCCATGTTGCTCCCATTCGCCAACTGAATTCACATTCAATTTGCTGTTACACAGGTTAAAAAATGCCCATAAAACCTCAATTTAATTTGATAATTAGCTTGTTTTGATGAATTCATTATTAATTTATTGCTCTCAGCATGAAGCATTATATAGATATTAGATTCTCATCTTTATTTTGTGAAAAGCGTATCAAAACCAAAAGAGCCATATCGGATTGGTTTATGTATTCTCTTCATCAAGGACAATAGTTTCTTATTAGGACCCACTGAACCAGAGCTTACTAAAGAGGACAAGGGATAGTCTGTTTCCAAAAGATAAAGCAATTATTCAGATGACATCCATCGCTATGAAACCAGCACAAAGAGGTGAACTGAAAAATCATGTTGAAGAAAGACTGCAGCAGGTGGTTTCAGATCATCTGCTTCCTCCCAGACTCTCTTTGAGCTCATACCCCCTTCACTTTGGGACTCCTCATCCCCTCCTTAGAGGGATGGTCAGCTGATGCAAAGTCAAATACAGAGTCCAAGTCTGCAGGTGGGCATGGAGAGCCCATAAGAGAGGCTCAAGTTAATGACTGAGTCTCCGTTTCTCTTAACCTTCTTCTTATTGCTTAGGTCTCATTTGCCTCATCTTCAAGTGAGCTGTAAGACCACTGAGAGGGATCTGCAGCCACAAGCCTAGAGAAATACACCTCTGAGGACAAGAAAAATCTCTTCTCAGTTTTAAAAAAGTAGTCAAACTGCCCAGCTTTGCTTATTTGAGACCTTCTCATCCCTGGATTCTCCATGATGCCAATCCCTTTCACAAGCACAAATACCACAAGTTCAGTTAGCACCTCTGATGTTCTTCCAAAGTACAGTATGATTTAGAGGAAATGCTTGGAAGGAACGTGGAAGTTCTTCCCCTTTAGTTGTTTCAATAACTGATAGAAATCAACTCTCATCCAGCAATCAGGAGTGAAGAAAGGACTGTGCAGGAGCCTTGCAGCACGCAGGCAGCGTCTCACATTGCCCAAGGGCAAGCAGAGTTAATTGGGCTGCAGATTATGTGGCAGCACTTCTGATGGGCAGAACCTAACTCACAGCCAGTGAAAACATTGCTGCTCGAAACCAAACGACATACCTAACACAGCACAGCTTCTCTGAGAAGAAAACAAGAAGGGAAACAAAGCTGAAAGGACTCAAATCTACTCCGTGTTTCTACCTGCGAAGCGCCTGAAGCCAGCTGGGCTAGATGCAGAATGGCAGCGCTTGACAGGAATAAGGAGCACATGACGAAGGATGACCTGTGTGTTGGGATGCTGTAATACTGATTTACTGCTCCCTCACACCCACCCCACATCTCCTACCAGCAGCCTGCTCTCCAGTGCAGCGTTATCTACCGAGACACCAGCAAGCCACTGACGCGAGGAAGCCTGAGGTTCCTGCACACGAAGAGTTAAACACTGAGCTCTATTATTCCATACTGTCAATAGCCCCAGTGCTTGTGATTTGGAGTGACTTTTCTCATTACAAAGGACACAGCAAATCAATTCTGAGAGCTCCCTTTGGATATCAGGAAGGCACAAACCTGGTTCCTGCAGAAGAGGAGTGCATACCAACTAGCAAAGTTGTCACTCTGCCTTTTGCCAGAGGTAGTCCCAGAAAAATATTAGTTCTGTGAAACACTTTCACCTAAATATCTCCAAGTACTTCAGTCATCTGATTACAGCCTAGCTGCCTATAGATGAGAAATTAAATCAATATAGGTATGAAATCAAATTAAGACAAAGAGTTTTGGTCTCTTGACCCTGAATAAAGCTGGAGAGTGGGTCCAGGAATGCGTCCTGACTTTAGCACAGAAACTTTCACCATATTGGTACCTACAGGCAGAATATGGGTCTTGCTTTTCAGCCCCATGAAAACAACACACCATGCAGAGCATTTTCAATGTTTCTCATACAAAACTCCCAAGCTTAAAGTCTACACAATGGAACAGATAGAGAATACAAGTGTCCAGAAGCGGTTTTCCACTTGACCTCCCAGCTAGCCCTTCCTCGGAAAGCTTCCCAGGACCCACCTCCGCGCCAGGAACCCACGTGTGTAGCGCTGGATGACGATTGCAGCTTGTCTCAGCCTTTTGTACTTGACCCTCTGTAGCCAGCCCCGCACTGTCTTCTGAATCATGATCGTGGCAGCTCTCAACTTAGCTGCTCGCACTTTCTCCAGATATGCCACCTGGCCTGAACGGAAAAAGATCTTGGTATGTCCAACCTGGAACTTGTCTGGATCCTTATGAAAAGCAAAAAGGAAACTAAATTTAATTAAAGGCAAACAATTTTCTTTTTTTCAATCTATGTTGCTCAGTAGATACAGATTAAAAAAACCCACTTTGAATCACATTTTTCAGCTCAACTCACACCTCTTCTTAACTGGGTGATAAAGATATTACTACACCCCAAAGTACTTGGGCTTCTCTATACTCATTGAAGAATGCAGCACTAGGATTCAGTCTTAAGTTCTATACATTGACATAAATTTTTAATGTATTTTGGCTTTTGTGAGGGTTTTTTGTGTTTTTTTTGTTTTTTGGGGTTTTTTTTAATGTTAAATAGAGCAATTCCATGCCAGAGGAGTTAAAGGAAAGACTTCTTCCTCAAACGGATTAAGGCTTACATCTGCAAAGTCATACATGCACTGAAAATGGCCCTGTAGCTAATGGAAACACGTGGTGCACAAGGAGCACAGCTTCTGCAGAGAGGAACCCAATTGAGTAAATTCCTCAAAATTCCATGACAAAAACAGAGATCAAAAATTTAAATGTGGCTAAGGTGCTGTGGACATTCTGTGCTGCTCAACAGCAAAGCAACAGGAAGAAACCTTTGTGTGAACTCTTGTGATTTAAAAATAATACATGAGTAGTAAGGTTTTGGTGAGGAGAGGTGGGAAAGACTTCTTATTTCCTTAAGGGAAAAAAGTCCCAATCTACAGGATGCTTCTTCTACATATTGGTGGCTATTAAAAGTCACTCACACACCAAGATAGGGCATTTATTGCACTTTTCTCTTACTCATTTGTGCAAAGAGGCCTTTAATGATTGACTGCGGTTCATGATGTTGTCCAAAGCTGGACCTCTAAAATATGCTCCAGCTATGGCTAGACAAAAGCAGAAGGAGGGATTAGGGGGACAAATTTTCTAAAGGTGGCCAGGTGTTCATGTACAGCCAGTGACAGCAAACTCTGGACTTCACCAGCACTGAAATGGTGAAATCAAGAGATCCCATGTCACGTTTGCTCTCGCTATTTCCTTGTGAGACTGTCTCATTCTGGAAGGAGCCCCAGGCTGCCTAGGCTGCAGAAGCACCTGCACAAGCAGCAGGTGAAGCAGGAGCAGGAAAATCAATTCAGATTATATCAAAGCCACAAGCTTCCATGCTGTAAAAATCAATGCCAGAGATCTGATCCCAGCTCACCTTAATGAGTTCTTCCACCAGGGTGAGACAGATCTGCTTCTTGTCTTTCTTAGAGAGGTCTCTCTTTTTCATAAGAACACGATACCTATTCAGAAAGTTGTGGTAGGACCATCTGAAAGCAAAGCATACACAGGATTAGCCTGCTGGGCATTATTTCCTCAAAATAAAGCGTTACAGGCAAGTCAAAATATGAAACCCGTATACTGAGAGATGTCCTTGTTTGAGTGAATGGCAGGTGTTTTGGTAGCAGGGGAGGGGGCTACAGCAGTGGCCCCTTTGAGAAGCTTCTGGAAGCTTCCCCGGCTCCAAATCGGACCCACCTCTGGCCAAGGCCGAGCCAATTAGTGATGGTGGCTGCACCTCTGCAATAACGTATGTAAAAAGGGGAACCTGGGAGGAGTTGTGGGAGTTCAGAGGAGTTCCAAGGACAAAACACAAAGTCTATGGACTCTGAGAAGACAAAGCATCCACCTGGAAGATGCCTCACTGTCACCAGCAGTGAAGTTTCCAAACACACTACACTAACTGAAGGAATTAGAGCACTGAATCTTACTGCCAGGAAATATCATCTCCTGCCACAGCTGCTAGATGTAGGGACTGAAGGCTGGATCCTGAAATTGGTTCAGCATTTGCTGAGTTTCAGCCTTCTCCAAATTAACACAGTGAGTTATGGACCCCTCAAAACCTGAGTTTAATTGAAATATACTAGGCATTTCCAACAACGTTAAGTACAGCCATCATTATTTTTTAAAAAATATGCATAAAAACATCAAAGGAAGATGGGAGAGAACTGCAGAGATTTTGATTTCTGCCCTCACTCAACAAAACCTTCTGTGAGCCTGATCCCCACTCACATGGGTGTCCTGTCAGACGAGCATACGCTATATCTCTCCACCCAGCAGCCCCATGCATGCCTTTACTTTTGTGTTATTATACCCAATTCTTCCTATTTTTTCCACTTCCAGAGATTAAGAGAGGGGGGGGGAAAAAAAGGCAAAATAAATTTCAAAGGACCAGGGTGATGCTTGTGACAGGGCCTTACACCAGCCAGCTTGCAGTGGTGGAGCTGGGTGAGACATCACACCACCTGAGCACCTCCCATGTTTAAGACTGCTGTCTCTATGAAATACTTCATCCCTAATAAAACTTCCTGAAGGCTGGGGCATTTGGTAAGACAAGCATACCAGTAATATAGTACATATTTCAAAATATGTGACTAACAGTTTCATATCAATCCAGCAAATGCAACAGTGGAGGAAAGCCAGTTCAATTAAAAGCAATACTCTGAAAGAGCATAGTAGATGAAAGTATTTACAATAGAATGGAGGAAGAAAAAAACCAAAAGAAAAAAGACTGCTAAGGATTGGGAAGTGCCACGCAATTCCTACATGGACACATTTCATCCAGGACACATTTTGTAAAGAATATGGAAATGGCAAAAATGGGAAAGGCATTGCACCTGAAGCAAAAAGGTAAGCTTGGAGGCTCCTGGAGACAGAAGCAAGAAGAAAATTGTGATGAGATGCCATGCTCAGATCGCTCTGAGTAGTTCTGGAGCAGCCAGATTTAGTGATAATTTTACCCCTGTCTACATGGGATAGCCCTGGGACTAGACAGTCAAGGCTGCCCACTCTCAAATGACCACAATTATTGGATCATCACTAAAAAAGACTGTGCTATCTGCTACGGGGAGCGCTCTCTGCTGTGAGGTACTGCAAAACTCAACACAAAGACTGTGCAAGACTCTGGGCTCATGTCACACAGGGTTTAAGTATAAACTTGCTTACTCCTTGCTTGCTAAATGCCTCCATTTTATAATGACACTGCCCGTTCTGTACCCGCACTTTAATCCTTCTGCTTTGCGCAAATAAAACCCGTTTTTATTTTAAGCACAGCTGAGGTTTTACGTAGCTCCAGATCAAACCCAATCAGAGAAGCAGAGCACAGAGTGCCCAAGGCACGCAGCCAAGCGCACGATGCTGGAGACCTCCTGCCTAGCTCAGGTATTACTCAAGCCAGGGGGAAAAGAGGAGGAGGGAGTATTCCCATTAACCTGCCAGAGGGTTATAGTATCAGGGGCTGATATTATTAACTGCTGCTATTTGGAGGAAGAAATCATCCGGTAAGTGCCACCCAGGCTCCTCCAGCAAAGAGCAGATGGTGAAGAGGCAACATGTGTAACAGAGGGCATGGGTCCAAGCTGGGCGGAAAGCACCAATATCCATCATCTTCCTGCACTGAGACAGAGGTGCAGATCCCACAGCTGCTTTCAAACAAGAGTCGGATACCTGCAGAAGTTCCTTAAAAACAGACCATAAGTCACTACATAGAGGGTCTCTCTTCAGAGGCTGGAGTTCTCCTTTAGAAGATGTTAAAAAGGTTGTCCACTTGTTTCCATTAAATAACACAACTCACTTTTTAGGGGCAAGTCTCACGTGAGGCATTGAAAGCAGCAGGGAATATGCTCACTGATTGCTGTCGGGGTGTTTTGCTGGGCTGGTGGAATCTGTAGTCCTCTGCCCACATCTCTCAGAGGTTCACAGCCAAACGCTGCACCTCCACGGCACAACACCACTTCACCCTTGCTGCAGCGAGGCCGCTCTCACCATCCTCACTGATTTATCAGGAGATGACAGTCCTGAGATTACACTGCCTGCATTGTTGTCCACAGAATACAAAGACAAAAGCTCTGCCATGCTGGGGCTCAGCTGGTCCTTCACAAGTTTCACTGGAATATTTGCAGTCCCAGTTCACAAGCAAAAGAAAGCTGCAGGGGTTCATAGGTGCTGTTACAGGATCCCCCCCCAGAGAAAGGAACAATTAAAGCCCTTGGGTTTAATGTAGCACGCCTGGTTAAACCACTTCAGGTTCAAAGCAGCATAAAATTACCTTACAACTAAGTGCTTCGAGAGAAACAAACATGATCTCCCAACCTTACAAGGGAGATCTCTCAGGTGCAGAAATACTGAAGTGCAATGCTCTGCTGTACACACATTTTTTTTTTTAATTCTTCTGCACACATATATCTTTTTTTTTAGGTTCAACAGCTGCATCTTCAGCATAGAAAAGGAAAAGCGAGAATAATTATTTCCCTCATGCTAGACCACAAAGCAATTCCTAGCACAAGACAAAAGATGTGCCGTGTTACCCCACAACCTAGCAGGTCAGGAGAGATTATGGGAAGGTTATATATCAGTTCAACTCATTGACAGGTATTAAATTAAAAGCAGATCTTGGGTTTTCAGGACGCTGCCACCGAACACACAGTATGAGCACGCCTCACTGCTAGGAGCTGGAGACTTCCAAGGGTCACTAAAAAAATAAATTCCTTATAATTATCAAGTTATAAGATCCAGAGAAGTGGAATAGGCAAAGAGCTGTTACCAGGAGGATTTTGGTACCTGCACAACTGAGATAAAGGAAGGAGGCATGAAGGACTGGACAGATACTACTCAAACTTCCTCAGGAAAAAAAAAATTAAAAAAAAAAATCTCAGGGCTGAGATTAAGCACAACTGACCTCGAACATCAAAATCTTGCTTTGAAGTCAGCACAGTTACTAAAAAAAAGGGGCAATAAAAGGAATGGAAGGACACAGGAAAATAACTTATGCCTGTGAAAAAAACACTCCTGGGGCTTGAGCAGCAAGGAGGACACTCAAGGTCTCAGCCAAGAGATGGAAACACTTGGTCAACCCAAGAATTTCTTTGTAATCTACAGGAAATAGAGCGAATAAACCATAACACATGTCACAAATTAAGCCTTGGATCTGTGGTTTAAAGAACGAGATTTGGATACTTTACACAAAACTACAACTGGGTGCAAAGCAACGGGGCTGCTCCCGCCCAGAATCACAAGGATACAAACCCAAGGGCAGCCCTCGTGCTTCTGAGCCAGCTGGATTTACTGCAGCCTCCCAGTTAAAGGGAGCTTTCGGGTAAGAAACTGGGGGTGAAATTCTGACTCCTGAGGAAGCCCCTGAAAAGCATCTGTCCAAGTGGTCACCAGCTGCCCAAAATATCTCCAACCTATTGTTTTAGGCTGATTACAGCAATGTTGTTTCAGCAGTACTCAATGAAGAGCTGAAAGGATTGTAAGAAGAGCTTGAAGCTGTTGTGCCTTAACCATAATACGGTTTATTTCAGTGGCCTAAAATTACTGAATGCAAAATCTTTCCATTCAGGGTAAATAAATTAATTGCCCTCTGTCACCCAAGACCACACCAGCACCATGTGCTGAGCGAACCTGGCTTTGTGTAAGAAATCCTGCCAGCACCACGTGGTACCATCCTCTGAAGGGATCAGTTTTTTATGCACTGGACTATATTGATCTTTCTATAGGAGCCAAAGCCCATCTGGGGACATGTAGGTTGAATATCTGAGCCGAGATTTGACATTATTTTTGAAACTGTGGTCCAGGGAGAAAATTTCTCTTGCCTTATTTACCTCAAGCAGAACAGATTTGCCTTTCAGTTAGCTCTAAAACATGCAGGCTGGCATGGCTTGAAATTATCTGGAATATATTCAAAGAGCAGAATGAAGGTAAACCCTTCCTCCATTTACATATGACACCTTTGTTAGGAGTGGGCAAACAGAACTGCTGGTAGCCAAAGTCATTTATAGGTTTTATTTCCCTGAAATGACTGTGAGACAGCTAAAGGCATATTATATAAAAAATAATATATCTATATCTATATCTGTCTATCTATCTATATCTCCAAGGATGCCCATGATACATTTAAATTACGATTGTTTAATGTTTATAGAGTGTAGCAGCTGTGATTTCATACTGAATTCTTACAAAGATGCTGCATCTGACAGTCAGCTCCAGCAACCAGAGGAAGCAGCCAAATGCCAAGAATACTTAAGCAATAAATTTCATACATAACAACTACAGTGAGAGTATTTCAAAGACACTGCCATGACAACGCTACTCAGAGTGATGGCACAGTGGGTGACCACTGACTGGAAACCACCAGAACCAGCAAGAAGAAAAATGTAGGGTTTTGACAAAAAGCAAGTTAAGAAACTTGTTTGAAAGAGTATTTTGTTATTAATGGAGATCTGCACCAATTAATTCACTATAGACTAATCTTTATGTAGTTAGTTTCTATAAAAAAGATTAATAGTTTTATAGTACAGAGACATCTTCCATGCTTTACACACGGAAGTTGATGATAGATTTACTATCTACACATTTAAGACAGTTCATTCATCACAGTCATTTATGCACATACAAATACATTTCTTAACTTCTGTGTAACATTTCAAACCAATTATACATTTTTAATTTACTCAAGATAGCGGCAGAGTGCAGAGTACGATGGAAATGATAAAATAAAGCCAGAGGTACCCAAAGCAGGGAGCGCGAGGCTTCATCTTTCAGTGGGAATATATCATGATTTACATGGGTTAAAGAACACAAAAAATGATATTAAAACTTCTCTTTTTCTTAAAGGAATCTGGTAAAAAAATTTATCAAAGTCTAAAAACATTAAATTCTTCAACCCATAAAGTAACCATGATGGAGAAGCGTGAAATAACGGCAGAAGGTGGCTCTATCCAGACATCTCTGACACAAAGTCACATCACATCAGAAGGTACTTGTAAGGAACTGAAGGAATTAATGCCTCAACATGCACCAACACAGAAAACCTCAATGACAGGCTGTGGCCTTTGTGATTAGTCTCAGGAATGTCACCCAAGGAAGCGGGAGTGTATGGAAGGGTGCACCAGGGGTGGTGATCCAGATTTGTCTCACTTTTTTTCTCTCCTTTTTCTTTCCTCTCCTTTCTTTCTTATAGATTTACAAGAGACCACATTGCTTATTATCCTTTTCCAAATTCAAGTTGTTTCTACCACAAGTAAAACATTTTAACTGGTCATTTGGTGTCATTTCATCTTAATTTAACCTGAGGGGATCTCAGAACCTTTGCAACTCCCTGTGCTCCCAGTCCAGGTGGTGGCAGTACTCTTGTGGCAGTATGCTGGAAAATATTCAGATGTAAATACTACAGGATGAAAATAAACATTTTTCTCCTCTTTCTGTAATAAAACTTCTTGAGATAAAATATTTTGAATATTTCCTGTTGCTCTAAAGGTAAATTGCTTACACCCAAGTGAAGCAAAACTCAAAAAGATCAAGTTTTCCATTACTAAGTAGTTTAAATTTATAGCCTTTGAATGGGGTTTAAATTTAATACAATGACCCTCCTTTTTGGTTTTATCCTTTATCTACCATTATAATCAGACTTGTCTCAAAATATAAGGAAACACAGAGGAATAATCAATGCTCAGTGTGACGAAAACTGAGACAGATCACGTGGATGTAAAAATGCAGAAAGAACTAAACTGTCTATTACAATTCCCACAAAATCAGAACCATGGAAACAGCTTTTGCCAAGCTGGTTTATAAAGCAAATCCAAATATACAGCTTATTCACAGTCTTTCAATGATGCTGCCCAATTCCTCGGTCTGGATTTTCAGGACTGGAATTTTCTGACCAAGGAGAGTAAAGAACTACAAGAACCCCAACTGAGTATTTTGTTTAGCACAGAATTGTTCCTGTGTGTAATTATCTTATTGAAACATTAAAATAAAACAAAAATCTGTCCTTAAAGCATTCTAAACACTGAGCTGGAGATGAGCAAGGTGAAAGGCTGAAGTAGCTATCTGCACCTACCTTCCCCTCCGCCCCCCTCCCCGAGAAAGAACAAAAGCTGACAAGTTGCAGGGATGGAAGAGTTCTGTATTCTTAGCGTCCTGGGAAAAAAGTCCTCATAACCAAAAGCAGGCAAGCAGAGCCAAAAGCATCACTTTTCTTCAGGATAGAACAGTCTTTGCACCAGTCAATTATTTGCCATAAATAGATCTTGGCTGGTCTCCAGGTGCTGCAGTGGTTTCTCCCCTTTGCTCCCCCTCCCCAGTTACTAATTACATGCCAATTTTAGTGCCACAGGGTCTAAACTGCAGAGTTAAGTGAGCAGAGATGGAAAAATGCTGTAAGTGTGCAGGAACACTTTTGAGTGGAGAGGCACAGGGTATCCCTGCATGCTAAGACCAGCAGCAAAACCCACGGACAGAGCTCCCCAAGCCTCCCATGGGAACCACAGCTGCAGAGCTAGGAGCTCCCCCTGCCCTGTGGAGCATGACCACTTGTTTAAGAAGCATAAAACTGCCTTTCCATGGCCTTTTCCAAATGGAACTCCAGCTGTTTCACTGCTTCAGGACTTTCACTTCCAGAGGACAGACAGATTTGACCCTGCAGCTACTTTAACAAAGAAGTTGTTGGTGCTTAATTTCCCTCCACGCCTTAGAGATGATGTAATTTAGGAGCAAATTTTCATTAGTTATTTCCACAAATGCCTTGGAGACTTCAGAGATAGGAGACAAAGGTGGTTCTGGGTCTTCTAACAGGGCCAGGCCGCCCCACAGGACCACCCAAATCTCCATTCACTTCACCCACACTGGCAGAGGAGAGAGACAAACTGGTTACCATGAAACATTTTTTTTCTTTTTTCTTTTCCTTTTTTTTTTTTTTTTCCTTTTTTTTTTCCTTTTAAGGAGCTGAGATCAGACAGCCAGGGAGATCCCAATCATCAGTTTTTGCCAGCCCATGGAGGTCACTGGCCAACAGAGGCTTTAAGTGGGCTGAGTGCAGCAAAGCCACCTCATGTCATCGTGCAGAAGCTGCCATCAATTGTCAGAGTTTGCAGGAGATAAAGAGTCACTGCTAAGGCAGCACACTACACCCCAAAAACCAGGACAGGGAGTTTCTCATGGCGCTCAGCATCACGCTTAGCTGACTCTTTACTGAGTGTATTTATAACTTCTTTGTTCCATGTAAAAAGGCTGATGGCCATGCTTACATTATCACAAAGCTGCTTGGCACTATCATGCAATTCATGCATTTTTAGAATTATTTGCCCATGTCACCTTCAAGTCTTATTTATAGTTTATGTTTCCTGATTTATTAGGCCCTAAAAACCTCTTCTGATTTTTGTATCACACCCATAACCTTTCTTCTTTAAGATGCTAGAGTTTGAAGCCCAGTATTCTTTTGATGTGCGGTGTGAAAGTCTGCAATAATAATTTACAACCTTTATTTTCTTCCTTTGCAAGTATAATCAAAATATTTTTGTCTGAAATTACTATTGTAGCAGGTGTCTAAAGCCAGAAAGGAAAAAAAAAAGTAAAGGAAACTCTATAGTGCAAGGAGCTTTTGCATGGGGACCTTCAGGCAAGCAGGAAAAATGTCCTCTAGGGCAATGCTGGCTTCCAGGCAAGATGGGTGTAGAGGATTTAGAGCTGTTATTTTGCTACTTGCTATCCACCTCCGTATGGGATCAAAGCTGGATTCCTTTATCTGCCACGCACTAGCATCTTCAGAGATTTCATCACATCAAATTCTCAGGACAAAACTGAAAGCACACACTGAAACGCTGGACACAACACCACACACCCTCTGGCAGCATCACTTTGCAGCTCATTGCTTGATAACAGATCTCTCAGATTTGAGGAACCCAGGACCTAAAGTCATTTATGCAAAACAAAAAAAATTATAAAAAGGGCAAGATCTATCCTGGACATAAACGAACCTAAAGAAACCCCATTTGTCCTGAAAACACTAATGTTTTCTTCTCTCTCCCTTGCCCCAGATAATGAACTTGCTGAGTAAAGCCCAACAGCAGCACACCACCACACTGAATTCCCAGCTCGGTACCTGGATGGGAAGCCAGCAGCACTGATGCGGATGGTCTCCAGCACTCCACAGGCTCTCAGCTGCTGCACCACTCTCTTCGGATCAAATCTGCAATTATATTTAGGATAGAGATTAACACAGTGAGAAGAAACCCACATCTTCAACCCACCTGCCAGTGACTCTTTTGGGAACAGGAATTAGCTTCTGATATGTAGAAGAAAGCTCTGCTCTCATCACGAGTGAGAATGAAGAAAGCCATACATCCGTGGATAGCTTTTGTCCATAGTCATGCCCTCACAAACCTCACTATAACCAAAAATCCCATGCCTCACTTTGGGAACAGGCTGCACAGATGTCAGACGTTTTCCCTCCATGTCATGAGACATTGTGCTTTTCAAGTGCAACAGACCTTGCTATTGCCCTACTATCAATGCCAAGTGGTACTCCTGGGACAAAATGACAATCTGTGCAATTAGTCTCTACAGCCACAATCTACACAGCTGTGTGAAGCAACACAATCACCATAAAGAAGGGAAGAGGCTACCCCACCACAAGCTGCCTAATGAACCAGACTTTTGCAGCTAGAAGGGCAACAACATATTTCCATACAGAAATCAAATTCAACAGCAAAATAAATCTGATATATTAAATTCCATACCAAAACCAAGTAATTAACAGGTCCCACAGGTTTGCAGAACATTACGTTTGCCAAGAGGAGTGGTGCTCATGTTCCAGACTAAGGGCTTTGGTAGGCATCATGTGAAAATTCAAGGTGTAACTGCTCTCAACTGTCTGCCCTCCTCCTTTCAGCTGGCATTACCCCTTACCACTGGCATCTCATATCCATCAGCATCATCAGTGCTGAAAAGCTTCATGCCAACTTCCAGCTGAGTATCTGAGCTGTGGTCTCTCTGGTTCCTGGCATGAACCCACTTTCAGATCAGTCTATCTTTGCACAGAGTCCAAGAACCAGCATCCTCCACCACCCCTCCCTCCTTCCACGCTGACAGAGAGGTCCCAGCTCTCCAGCTCAAGACGTTAGACCCTGGAAAAGGTTGCTGGATCAAGATTGGGCTTGTACGATGTAGATGTCCATAGCTGTGTTAGGTTTCCAGAACAAGGGTGAGGAACAAAAGCTTCTCAGGTACCTGCTTGTCCCTTCCTGAAAGCCCAAAGTACTTACACCTGCAGGTCAAGACTGCATGAATAATTCTGCTTGGCCTCTGCTGTGCAAAAGCAACATAAGAAATAGTTCCCTGCTACTCAGTGCATTTTTCAATTCCCTGGATCTGTCAAATCTACAGCAAGTTATTCACCACAATACTGCAAACAGGATGCATGGCAGAAAATCAGTCTCGGCTGATTTACAAGCGTAAAATTTCCGTAACAATAAACAGGACTGGTAGACGGCTGGGGAAGCTTCAGTCCTGGAAGATCCCAGGGCAATCTACATTGTACATGGGGGGAACTTTCTGCAATGCTGCCAAGACCTGATCAGTGGGGGTGAAATGCAGTAACCAGAGCAGCTGCTGTCATTTTTCTGCATGGAAAGCCAGGACCCCCTCTAGCAATCACTCCAACTATGGGCCGAGGCTGAAATAGAGCTTAGAAGTGGGACAGTACACATTATTATGAACTCTGTTTCCTTGCATGTGGCAAACAGAATCAGCTGGCAGGTTGCTTTTGGCCGGGAAACCCAAGTAAGAGATCACTGCCTGAAATGGAATTTGGAAAGAAAAATTGTCAAAGCTACAAGCTGAAGTCAGGCATTCCCCTTGCACGTCTCCCTCTGAAGTCCTCCACACAAAGGATCAACCCCAGACGCAGCCTCCAGTCAGATGCAGCAGATACCACTGCATGGTGCCAACGCTTCCTCCAGGCTGGAAGTCTGACACCCCTCACCTCCCTAAGAAACAAACCCTACACTTGCACCAAGTTGTAAAGTAGGAATGAGAGCAACACAGGTTGCAGGAGACCTTAGGAGGTCTCCAGTCCAAACTCATACGTTCAAAAGCTGGGGCAGCTACAATGGCAGACCCATAATAGCTCAGGGCTTATCCAGCCAAGGGATGAAAACCTCTAAAGATGGAGGTTGCAGCACCTCTCTGGGCAGCCTGCTCCACTGATAGACTGCCCTCGTGGAGAAAAAAAAACCTAAATGTTTCCTTATCTGCAGTCTGAACCTCTCATGTAATTTGTGGCCACTGACTCCTGTCCTTCCACCACACACTGCTGAGAAGAGCAAGGCTTCGCCCTCTTGGTACGTCCTGTAAGTACCAGAAAGCTGCTACTAGGTCCCTTCTTTTCTCCAGGCTAAACATCTCATTTTAGCAAAAATGTAATGCTCTTGTGAGTTGAAAAAATGTTGAAAAAGGTCCATGTTTTCTTACTGAACAACAAACATAACACCAAGTGTTCTGCATGCTACAAGATACCACCTCAACACTAACCCAGAGCAGTGCCACTGATGTTTCAATTCATTAATGCCTCCTGGCACTGTGCATTTTTCAACACAAGTGCCTCTGAAATCCAGACACCCTTACAGCCATCCCCGTATTCTCCAGGCCTGAGCTTTACACAGAAGCAAACAGACTTTGAGCCACGCTCAGGATACAAATGCCTCAAGCTGGTGGCAGCAAGATCAACACTGACGGAGACTCTCAGATCATGATATCAGTGAAGCAACCCATGATGGGTGGGGAGGGAGATAATCTCTTGCAGAGAAGAACCCCCAGTATAACAAACCTCAACCAGTGCTTTCTGGCTTGTAGATGGGGATGCAACACCACCACCCCAACCCAAAGCACCCTCCTGTCTTTTCCAGCCCACGGTGACTGCTGCAATGTTGCTGGCTGCAGACAGACACCTCCACACTGCTCCTCCAGAATCATTCATGTGTCTATTTTTGTCTCCCCTTTGTTCCCAAAATCCCGAGCTTTGACAACTCTGACGTCTGCCAGATGGGAAGCATCACATCAGACCAAGTCATCACTCAGACTGCAAGCAGACACAAGCACAATTATCCTCCTGGCATTTGGTACCCATAACATCTTAGAAGTGTAACTGAGTTCATTTAGATAATGACTGCATCTTCACAACCAGGAGTTTGCACATTTATACAGTGATATTAACTGTATCCTAAGCATCACATGAAAAACTGAATTGCAAAGTTAAAGGCAAAGAAGTGAAGATGGATGGGCTGAACATAGAGCCAGGCAGGGACATGGAATCTTGGACACACACTTTGGAAAGGTGAAGCCACTTCACCATGCAGAGCATCTACCACACTTCCACTAAAGAAAGTTAGAAAATACTTTTGTGATTTATCTAAAAAAAAAAAAAAAAATCAATCAAACAAAAAGTGCAATCCTGAATTTCATTTAAATGGACAACCTCTGCAACAGGCAACAAAAGATGGAGGCCCTAACTATCTCCAGTACCTACAAAATGGTACACAAAACAGATACAGCACACCACAGAAACTGCCATCCCAGCACAGACAGCTCACACAGCCTTCTCCAGAGCCGTTAAATAATGATCTAAAGAATCAGTTAAATATAAGCCAGTTCCTGACTGTCTTCTAACCATAAATACCCTTCACTTGCTGTTTGCAAGGAGGAAAGAGTCAAAGCAGGGAAGCTTCCTGGTGAATATATATTCACTGGTGTATCACAGCCAAGGGTGAGCCTGTTTGCGGATGCTTTGTCCTTTGCAGGACGCTGCTGGAGCCATCTCTGCGCTCTGAGGTGGCACCATGCTCACTGGGACTGCGCTGGATCAGCTGGAGGGCAATGACTCCCTGCTTATGGGTTACAATTACAACCTCACCTTCTTAAATGTCACTAGCTCAAGGTTAATCCAGGGCCTTTAGAAGACATCACAATGAGGTCCCTGCACACTAATGGTCAAGCTTTTTTGGAGTTACAGGGAACAAAATCGGGTACAAAAACATCATCAGGAGGTCAAACAAGGCTAACAGTTATTTGCCCACATGCATCTCTGAGCTACAGAGGAAGATCAAGACTGGCTTTTTCCTTCAGATGTTCACTCACTTGGAAACCCGCCTGAAGTTGATACAAGTCACATCTTTACTTTTTCCACACTTATTTTGGAATCAGCAATACATTTTTGTTCATTTCACAAGCCATTTTGCAAGCACACTACTTATCTCAATTTTTTCATTTCTTTCTCTGCCACTTTTCACTGTTTAGCACTATTAACTGTTTAAATAGAAGTGATTTTAAGATTAAATTGTACGAAGACTCTATTATTGCAAAGCAAGGATGCTCAGTATTAGCAGAGTATATTTATGAATTATTAGGGCCTGCATTAGTATTCATTAGTGTGAGGAGGAGGAGGCTGAGGGGAGCCCTCATCCCTCTCTGCAGCTCCTGACAGGACATTGCAGAGAGGCTGGGGCTGGGCTCTGCTCCCAGGGGATCAGGGACAGGACAAGAGGGAACGGCTGGAAACTGCCCCAGGGGAGGGTCAGGCTGGGCAGGAGGAGAAAATGTTTCCCAGCAAGAGTGGTCCAGAGTGGAACAGGCTGCCCAGGGAGGGGGGAGTCCCCATCCCTGGGGGGGTTTCAGGGCTGTTGGGATGAGCTGGGGGGGGATGTGGGGTAGGGGAGAACTTTGTAGAGTCGGGCTGAGGGTTGGACTCGATGATCCCGAGGGGCTTTTCCAACCTGAAGGACTCTGTGATTTCACAGACACAAAAACCACATAATAAAACACAATAGAAGTGACTCCAGCAAACTATGGAGACCTTCCAGTTACAGGAACAGCATCACAAGAGGGGCAATCTCTTCTGCAAGAAGAAAAGTCCAAAGCACACCCTGCAGCTATAATGCTGAAGACATTTTCTGATATGAAAGGCCACTTACTTAAAAGAGAGCTTCTCATCATTCGGCTTGATGCAGCGCACGTAGTGCGGGGTGGTGGTATTCAGAGTCTCCATGAGCAAATGCAGCGAGTTGCGGAACTGAAAGACAAAACCACTTGTTTTGAGGAGGGCTGAATGTGCTGTACTGTGCAACCCAAGTTGGGAGGCACTGCAAGCCACCTGCGGTGCCAGCCTGAACCTCCCCACGAGCCTCGCACATGCAGGAGCAATTCAGAGAAGACACTGGTGGGCTGAGGGCTTCCAGCTCAATGAGGTACAAGAGCAACAGGTATTTGGTCAGGACTTTACCCAGTCAGGTCTTGAATAATCTCCAAGGGTGGAGATAGCACAACCTCTCTGGGCCCGTGTTGTGATGCCTGACTGTCTACACAGGGGAAAAAAATCTCTTTTTCTCAAGCTGTTTCAATTTATGAGCACCATAGTAAATTGGGATACAGTCCAATGAATCCCAGAGTGGTCTCCACCCTTCCTTAGGCCATGTCTCAACTGCTTCCAGTCAAGACTACTTGAGCCTGTTCCTCCAGACACTGCTAGAAGGTGTCCAAAATGCAACAGCCAAACCATTATCATCCTACAACATGGGTCACAGAATAGTCTCCTCACTTTTCCCCCCACAACCACTTTTTTTTCCTCTCTGCTTCAAACTGAAGAACTAAGATCTTAATTGTAAAAACGTCTCCCCAGTCAACTCACTCATATCACAAGTTACCTGGTGCCCCACTGTCTTCTTGTGCTCCTTATTGGCAGATTTGATGGCTGGTCTTGTAGAACGGATGCTGAGTTTGGCTGTTCCCTTTCTTATGGAAGTGGATGGTGCAGCATTGTTCTCATCTTGGAATAAGCTTGCTACCATTTGATACTAAAACAAAAAACAACAGCTGAGCACCTCTGGCCCTGCTCTTTGCCAAATGAACCCACCCAAGACACATTGCTCTGGTCATTTTTAACCCACCTTAAACCAGGAGGGAGACAAAGACCATTAAAGTGAAAGTAAGAAACACTGCCTACGTAAACCATGTCAGAGCAGGACCACTGCCCATTCTGTTTTGTAGTTCATGAACATGAAACATGCACATCAAATCAAACAAGCAAAGAAAAAGAAAAAAAAAAGAATAGCTAGTTGCAAGGATTGCTGAAGTGTTGTCCAAGGCAGAAAACCTCCTGAATGTGAGGTGACTCTTGCTCCCAGGCTTGGTTTCAAGGTATTCATCCAGTCCTGACCATGGCCAGGATGCTGCCAGCACAGCACATGTGCCAGGAACGGGGTCTCCACACGAGGACAGGCAGCAGTCCACTCCCACCACAGTCCCAGATGCACCCTTGCTTTTCTGAATGTAAGAGACACCAGCACTTCCTCACCGATTACCTGCATTTCAGCGCCACTGAGCAAGGCGACAGCAGGACCGCCACGCCGCAGCCCTGAAAGCACCACGTTTAGTGCCTCAGATCCCTGAGGTCTGGGATTTGTGGCAAGCCAGCAGCAACATTTCCACTTCATAAATGGGAGAACAGGCGAGCTGGCAAATGGAGTTAATGTTTGGGGGTTTTTTTACAGGGCAGGATCTTCAAATCTGCATTAGGCTGGGGAACTTGAATACTAAGTAAGTCACAATAAATTTGGTCTGTTTAGCGGGGATTTTCACAGCTTGACTCCAGTTATACTCCTACACAAGTTCCCATTACAGCTGCACTTACATTCAAATAGTAAATTCTTAAATGTAAGAAAACCCACTGTCACCAGGTGGCATTTCACTTGTCTGCAGCTGAGGTGGGCTCCAGCCCGGTGACACTGCCAAAGCACCGTGACGCCACCCCAGCAGCACCCAGACCACCAGCAACACCCGCTTTGGAGCATCCTTGGGAGCGGGCTCCAGCACCACGATTCCCTTGTCTGCACCACGCCACGCCTGACACATTGATGATAACACAGGCACAAGGCAGCAGTGCACTGCACAAAGCTCCAACCCAGGCTCCTCTGAAAGCCGAACTTGGATGTATCTCCATTAAAACCTCAAGAAGAATGCAGGGGTTTACCAGTTTATAGACATTAATGGACAGTCTCGTACTGTAACGGGCTGCCTGGCTCTGTCACATCCCTGGACTAGGACAGGAATGTTTCCAGCCCTGTTCACACAGCTTGCTAGCACGGCAGCCTAAATACCACTGTGGGAGGGAAACTGTTTGCATTACATTAGCAGATTGCTTGCAGGCTCCAGGACAGCGCCTGCTAAGGATCTGCTTCATACTCACAGCTTTTATTTTTATCTCTGCAGCTCACTCAACTCCCACCAGAATAAAGGCTCACACATTCTTTGCCTAACCCTCTATCCCCCCCAAAAAGACACCCTGACAGCTGTTATGCTTCAACGACACGTCACTGTCTTGGGTGCTTTGACTCCTGAAAACATGGGATGCTTTGGTGGCACGTGCTTGAAGCTGGAAGACATCCAACACAGGCTCCGCTTTGCCATCTCACGCTTGACAATGCGGTAAAACCCACAGCTGTAATTTCAGGTTTCAAAACACCTTCTCTATGCATAGCTGGGAAAGCCATCAACCCCTCCGTTTGCTTTTTGTTAATAACAAGAGTGCTTGCTCTTTCTGCTCAACAAGAATCTCTGAGGCGAGCTTTCAGCTGGCTTAAAGCAAAACTGCTGCGACTGGGATCATCTATAGCAGCCCAGGACCTATTCCATGGCTGCGGGGGCGATAAGCAAGAAGGACAAACCCCTCCTTCCCAACTGGCAGAGCCGAAACTGCTGGTGCACTACTCGTAATTACAGAGGACTGGAATATGGTATCTTAACAGCATGCCCCCATGCTTTCAATCAGTATTCAAATATGTTTCCCTAATCCAAAGAACATCAACTTTCAACTGTTTTAGTTGACCAGTGCTAACAAAACTAATTAACTGCCTTATAAAGTCTCTTTCACCCTCTTGTTGATGGCAGTAATTGCATTCTAATTAGCAGAACGCGGCTCTGCCTTGGTGGGAGAGCTTCATCAGGGATACACTTGCTGACATAGAGGTGTTTATGTCCTTGCCGTGTTAAACTGAGTGTTCCCCCTTGCCCTTTAGTGGGAAAATGAAGAAGAATGTGGTGAATACTGTATGCAGGCCTGATCCTGAGTACAGGACAAAGCCCTCCCGGCCCAGCCTTTTGCAGCACAAATTTGTGTTTTAGACAAATTAGCACATCTGAGCAGCAGGCTCAGCACTGCCACTGCTGCTCTTTTTTGGTTCAGAGAAACCAGGTTGCTTTTTACAGCAAAAGAAAAAAGAAAAATTTGTTTATATCCCTGGAGGGCACAGGGCAGGCAAGATTCAAAAAAAAAAAAAAAAAAAAAAAATGGCCAACAGAGTTAGGGAAAGCAAGAGCAGAACATGATGTTTTGGAGGCTTTGCAGGAGGATGCTCCTGCTGAGGGAAGCACTGCTCTTCCTCCCAGGACAGCACAGCATGGCACGGGCTGATGACAGCCACCACTCCCACGTCATTAAAGAAGTGGTTCAAATGCTGAAGTTCAAACTGTCACCCAACGAATCTCAGAGCCACCATGGTGAATTCACAGAGTCCTAACATCTGATCCCACGGAGCATTAATTTGCAGGCCAGCTAACTCCAGATCTTTGGTTCTGAGGCGCACGCATTAATGGCTTTTTAGGTCAAGCACACCAGTTGCAAGGAGCAGGGTTTGGCGGGGTTCTTTTCTATTAAACCAAAGCCCAGCCTCCTCTGATATTATACTGTAGTCCCTTTCTAGGAGAAAGAGAAGGAGATGCTGTTAATAAACCCATTTCAGCCTTTTTTCAAATGAGTTGCAGGTGGCACCATCCCCATCACTCCACAACACACTGCTCCAGTGAGTTACATTTCTCCTCTGCACTGATGGGGAGAAGTTAAAACAGAAATCCCTATCAGACATGGCCAGTCCTGCAGCACTACCTTCGACAGCAGCTTCAGGACTGGCTAAATAATTCATCTTATGGCATCAATTATTCCTGCAGGCTACCTGATGTTTTTAATAAGCTCTAATTATGCCCAGTTTTTACCCTGGGAAAGCGATGAGCTTCCCAAACACACAGAGCTCTTGATTTGGGTGTTATTAAAGCCCAGCTTCACAGTTACTAGACTTGCAACTACCCCCATGAATTAAGAAAATTTCACATCTTGCCATCTTCATATGGATTCATTGCTGAGACACAGGGCAAGCCACTGACAATGCTCAACTAATTTCCCATTCTCATCTCTCTTAACTTTGCCAGGAGCAAACTACTGCTTGAAATGCTCCTAAAAATAATACTTCCTCCCTCTCCCCTCATCACATTCCTTATTTAGGGTGGTGTTTGGAAGGTCACACCAAACCATAAACCCAAGGGAGGGTGGCACAAAGGGGAGAAATCTGGATACACAACACATCTGCTTGCAATATGCAGGTGTGATTCGAAATTTGTAATGCAAAAAAAAAAAAAAAAAAAAAGAAAGCTGGGGGAGGCTTTGAAATGGTCTGGAGAAAAGCAGATATATTCCTTCCCTACACCACACACAAAGTCTGGTGGAAACAACAGTGCCCCAGAGTCATACAGTTTTGATTTTTGGCTGCTGCATGGTGTGCTGGACTCTGCAGGGCTGGATTTTCATACTGACTTCTTCATAAGAGAGCTGCTCCGGAAGAGTTAAGGTTGTTTAAAGTCTCAACTCATTAACTGACAATGAGAGACTCAAGGTTGCAGGGAGGAACTTTTGGTCTGGGTTTAAACAACAAGGACTTGTCATTCCTCAGATGTGTCTGTTACTGACACTTTAACCCAACCCGCCCAAGTGTAGATGGTGCACCCAAAGTGCTCGTGGACAAAAGTGCAGTACTGGAAGTCACTGTAAAAGCTGCTCAGTTCAAACACACAACTGTAAAGTCTCCAACTTGAAGCCCACTTGCCAAGCTCTCATTTACTGCAGGCACGACCCACTCCAAAGCCTGCAGAGCCTCACAGCTACTGCTTTTCTGCTTCCAACAGCCCACCAAGATCCCCGCCCTCAGGACTAACAGGGACTTTAGGTGCCAAAAAGCTCTTTACCAGGAGACGTGGTATTCCAGGTCAGTCAATAGGTCTCCATTGACACTTGATGTAGTGAGGTGTCAGCAAGTCGTACAAGATTCGTGAGAGGAAAGGTACATGGCACAAAATCTTGTAATATGGGAGTGACATTAAGTGTGGTCATCTATGTGTGTTAATTTATTAAAGTTACGTATTGGCAGCAGTGTAAAATAGCTCTACAGCAGCTGGAACGTCTCAGAGTTCACGTTAGATTTCCTGCATTGTATATTAAACCTATTTTTTGCGTACTAATTATTAAAAGTCACGGGGCCAAGTATGATGGACTACAGCTACGGGGAACAGCCATTTTCATACAGAAGGGTGGTAGGGTCAGCAACACTACCCACACTCTAAAAATTACACCGCTGGCAGTGGCTCTTAATCCCAGGATCACCTATGGCTCTACACACTTTTGAGAATATATTCGGTGCCAGGTGCTGTGTGGGGAGTTCCAAGCAAGAATTCAGTGGGATTTATACCATCCTGTAATTGGGGACTTCCTGACTTCTGCTCTCAGTGTCCAAAAAGGAAGAGGATCAGCAGGTCTGGAAGAGATTTTTCTGATGCACCTCAACAGATTGAGGGAGAGGAGAGCAGAGGACTATGCACATCCACTCCTGGATGCAGCCACAGCACCCAGCAGTCTCATCCCTCCTCTCCCCCCTTAATTCCCTCCTCCACACCCTATTTATTTGCCTATCTTGCTGCTGTTCACATAGTTGCCTTCAGCCATGCTTGCATACACAACCTGCTGCAGCACAGCACAGGAACACAAGTATGAAGCTCACATTTTGGAAAGCAGCAGTGCTGATTATCTCCCAACTCACTGCTTTTACCTTGCTGGCTTTCAGGATGTTGATCTGTTCCTCATACACGGTGTCCCTGTTCTTCTCCAGAAATCCCTCGCTCTCGTATTTCACCTAGCAGGAGACAAAGGAAGAAGACCAGAGGGTAAAGTCCAACCACACAGGGACAAGATGCTGTGTCCCACCACTCCCCTACTGCCTGGAAAACCTGAGAGAGAGGAGAGAGGAGCAACTGGAATTTAAAGGTCACTTCTTAATCAAAGAAAGTGAATCTGAATGAAAGCAAACACACTACTGCAAACACAAACTGTTTCTTAGTCATTAAACTGCTCTGTATGGGACCCAGCCGCACTTCCATGGAAACCAGGGGTAAAAATGCAGAGACCATCAGTACTCTACATGCTCTTTTGTTCACTCCTGAACTCCTTGTGAGCTAATCAATAAACCCCACAAGATGCTGTGGCTATGGCTCTTGTAGGTCTCTTGTTTTTGAAATTGCCAAGGGTTGCAATGAAAAGGAAGAATGTAGAGGACAGAAGAAAATTTTATTTTTTACATTTGAAGTTGTCTGAAATAACAGACCAGGGAAAAAAAAAATAGGGGGGGAAAAACTTGCAGAGATATTGTGAAGGATTCATGTGCAAAATCACATGTCTAAGGACCAGCGAGTATCGACGTTTGCCATGAAAGGTGCCACTCGTACCCAGGTCAAACCTGGTTAAGAGAAGCATCTGTAAAGGATCACAGCACCGGTGTGCCACCTGGCTCCTCCGACACGTTGCCAGGTTGGTCTGACACTTTCATTTCTAACAAACACGTGTTTTGGGTAACTGCAAGCTTTTAAGATTCTTATTTGCTGTGAGTGGTGCCTGTCACATCAGGGTTTCAGTGAGACTGGAGCCCATGGACAAGACCCTACAGCACCAGACACTGAGATTTAGAGTCCCACAGCTGGCATCTTCTCCCTCGGACGGGTAGGATCAGCCCAGGGTCACTTCCCCGCACATCTCCCCACTGTGCCTTGATGATGCTCGCAGCTCCTGCTCTTCAAAAATAATTCCCTTTTCCAATACATTTTCAGTCAAACTGGCCCTACAGAAATTCATTTTGCTGCAGCTTTGAGAAAGAGGATTTTTCTCCCCTCTAGAAAGCTCAAATATTTAAAGCTTAGCGCAATAGTTTGGATGCTGAAGTCCTCCAAGCTGATCTAGATTCCAGCAGCAAACCGAGATTACTGCCAACCAGGCGTGCCTACCACCAGAAAGCAGCTCACCGGTGCTATAAACTTCATTTTCCTTCAGGAGGCTCTTTCACACACCCACCACCGCCCCATGCATTTCCCACTTCTGCGTTCAAACCCCAGCACACGCAGCACATGGACAGTGACCTTATCGGCGAAGTGCAGGATGATGAAGGAGGTGTTGGACGTGCGGGGCTTCTGGAAGTGCTGGCTTCTGGTGTGCTGGTTGTACAGCTTCTGCACCCAGTTCTGGTCAGTGCCTTTGGGAACCTGGATGGGGAGAAAACGGACCAAAAAATCATGGGCAGGCATGCAAAGGAGGTGCAGAGAGGTTTTGGAGGAACCTTCCTTGTGGGCTTCCTCTAATCCACATGAGCTACAGGAATATTTGAGAAACAAAGTCCACCCACCAGTTCTAGGAGCATGTGCTATTTTATTTTCATGTATATTCCTGACAAGCACGCTAAAATTTTGTTCTCTGTGAAAAACACCCAAATGTTAGTTCTGCTCCAACAGCCAGAAGAGCTGTTACAGGGAAAAAAATTTAACAAGTATTTTTGCATTTAAGTTACATTAATTGCTCAGGCACCACCAATGTTACTTTTTAAACGCAATTTTTGGTGACCAGTTTTACAAACTGCCACCCGAGACAACAAGCAAGAGGTTCTGTTTCATTTAATTTCATTTAACATAATCATAAATCATAATTTTAAAATATTAAAACAATAATCAAATAATTCTTAAGAAACTTCTGCCTCTCAGCAGGGTTGGGGCAGGATCACTTGGATCCCAAACACAGGATGCATTAACCTCAGTGGCACGCAGAGTTGGGACTTCAGACCCACACATCTGTCCTACCACAGCAGGAGGATTCCCGTGTCCCCCCTCCCATGCATCCAACCTCCTGTGCCACTAATCTCCTGTATGCTAAATTCTCCTTCTGCATCCTATTTATTCCGAAATCAGGGTGCAAGTCCTACATGGACCTGCCCTTGAAAGGATGTGGCCATGGTACACCAAGATATCAGGTGTTGCCCAAGACATGGCTTTGGCAGGATTAAGCAGAAGACGTAAAAATCCTAAAACTGCAATGACTTAAAAAAACCCCTCACAACACTACCTGTGCAGTAAGGAAACAGGCTACTTTTGACAAATCAGCACTCACAAGGAGGGCTGGAGCTTAGCTTCCTACCCAGCACCTGCAGTTTTCACTGACACATTGCCAAGATCAGGAAAAAGAAAAAATAATTTGGTTTTATTATTTTGTAAGCACATATAGCTGCACGGCAGCATATGACAATATAACGTAACTTCTGATACTCTCATGATTACAATTGCCATAAAGACTCTTTTTTTTTTTCACAGTATGTTTAGGTCCCTCTCTGCTAAATGGCCAAAATCCCCAAAGCTTTTCAAAAAACATAAGGGCATTTGATGAAAGCACCTGGCCGTAAATACTGGCTATTTTGTACTTTTCCAGCACAAAAAAGTTTGCCACAAAGCAAAATTCTTGAAAACTGAAGGAAACAAGGAGTGAAGTTGTTATATTTGAGGACTGAGGACCACAGCTGATGGGGTTCATCCCCATCTCTCCTGCCTGCCCAACGGGGATGGGAAAGGCACGGGCTGGTGGACCCTCCATCCCTGCTTCCCACGGCAGCACAGCAATAACAACACACATACATGATTTTTAACAAAAAATGGATGACTGGAGCATTAAGGTTAGAAAAAGAGAGGAGTCAGAATAAAAGTGTTAGGAAATATTTTAAATTAGATGGGACAAAGTCTAGAAACTACAGAACAACTGTGCACCATCAAGGGAAGCTCTGGATCATCCATCAGGTCTTTACAGACCTTTACATGAAAAGTGACAGAGGAAATAGGAGCAGCAAACAGCAAGGAGGAAAACTGAGACAGATGAGGAGTATTTCTTTATGCTGCTCTGAAACAGCCTCTGGTTTCATAAGACCAAGCCAAAACACACTAGAAAGGTGCTGGACACAGGGACAAGCATCTCCTGGCTGCCCCCCTTAACTGGAAAAAGTGGCTGCATTAAATGCAGGAGGCACTAATGTGCTGTTCCAGATGTATTTAGATTTTATAATTTTAAGTGTAGCCAATTATGGATACAGACATAAATAACACAGACTATATATAAATATTAAAAGCCACTTATTTATACAATTATATACATATTTAATTTATGCCAGACATGCATGTTGTAACTATGGAGTTACCTAAAAGCAGATGTGTTCCTATCCATCAATTATATTTCATATCTATACATAAAAAACATCCTGTCTGGAGCTATCGTTCGGTCTCTCCTGTTCAGGACTGAGCTGCAGGTGCAGAGCAGGAGCACCGCAGCCACCTAGGCTGCCAGATGCTGCAGAGAGCAGATTTATCCTGCACCAGCTCTCTTTTGGGCCATGGACTGTGCTGAAAAACCGACTTCTCAGAGCTGAACTTCAAAGGCATCCCTCCTGCCTCCCAGAAAGAGGGTTTTCCCATACCTGCACCACTCCCTGTTCACCCCTGGGTATTTTTAGCTGCTTGAGGAACACCTGATAGGGACCAAGTCCCAGAGATATAAACTACCAGGGCAATTATCTGAACTATAACAGCAGCTTCTGGTATTACCTTGGCAGTTCAAGGCCTTTAGAGCTACTGAGAAAGTTTAGAGACTATCCCATCAGTGCAAGACTTTTTAGGAGATGAGGAAGAGGAAAACCGACTGCCTTGCAAGTACTGTATGGAAATCCCTAAACAGAAAAAACCTCAGACCAGTAATTTCACACGGTCATTGCTTCTGCTCGTTTGTCCTCACCGTCCCTCAGCCCATCACTCTGCATAAAATCTGTCAGGCAGCGTAATCCCAGCCAGCATCATCTCCCCATCTCCATACACTGTCCTCTGAGCTGCTAGGAGCTACTGCAACCAAAATCAAACCTACCCAAGTGTGGCCAGGATGAGTCCCCAGGCTTCGAGTCCACCAATTCTGTACCAGAAACATCCCAGGGTCAGAAACACACCACAACCACAAGACAGCTGGGGAGGTACTTGGAGCTGCTAGGACTAAAGGTTGAAATTCCCTCCACCATCACTTCCAACAGAAGAAAAATTAACTGGATAAAAGCCACAAAGGCCCACTCAGATCTAATGATCTAAAAGTCAGTCCTCTGAAAACACAGTAGGAACTATTTACATTTTATTTTCTTTCTCTTTATCACTCCCTCCAATATATGTTAAAGCCTGAAGAGAGCCTGGGCTTTCTCTGCACTTTGCAGACACGTTCCACTACAAGTGATGTGCCTGACTTTGAAGCTGTAAAAGCTGACAGCTTCACATAGGCAAGGTTACTCTGCCATTCACCCAGAAAGAAAGCCCAGAGATCCAACCTCTGTGTACCTGCACATGGAGCAGAAATCCCCCCCAGACAGGACTGGGCGGCACAGGAAGGCAACGTGATGATTTCTCATGTTCAAAAAACTAACAAGTCCAGACAAGGAAAACACATTTGCTCAGACACCCAAGTTCACAGCAATGCACAGAGACAAGCAGGATTGGAAATCAGGCTTCTAGAAGCAGACTTCAGTGTTTCTGGCACTTGACAGAAGGACACAGGAAAGGTTAAAAAGTGTCTTTTGAACAGTGTTAGAAAATGCATTTGGCATGTTAACAGCGTAACACGATGGCAACGTGCCATAAACCACAAAGCGATCCAGGAGAGAGTTTGAGAACATGAGAGAGCTTGTGGGTTAGACACATCTGCCTTTGGCAGCCTCAGGGTCACGTCGCTCCTCAGTAGAATTTGACTAAGATCCATAATAAATACCTGGACAAAGATGTCGTGAGTGACACATCGACCCCACCAACCAGCCTGCTCTTGATCAAACCCTTTTAGAGGCACTTCATGCTAACAGAAACATTTTTCCACTAATTTTTCCATTCCTACTCCCACCCCAACAGCACAGGCAAATCAAGAGAGCAGTCAGGCAGCCGAACACCTTATAGAGAAATCTGGACATCCACAGCAGTTTTTGACCGTACTCCCAAATGACACTTAGGAAATATATGGAAGACACTCAGCACTCCCCTGGAGCAAGCAGTTTCAGCCAGAAGAGCAGGACACCTCATCCAGCTTTGATACAGAGACCTGACTGCATTCCTTAGAGAATTTTCAACTTCCTCTGAAGATAATTTAATCCCTTGAGAGATCAACCCCAACTGGATTCTCCTCTCCAGGGCACTGAAGTCGCTCTCCACATGTTCCCTCCAGCCACAAAGCCTTCAGTCTTCTTGGGAAGTCTGCTGTCCTCTCTGAGAAAGTCATTCCCTCTACAACAAGGCCAACCATACCCTAAAGCCACCCCAGACATCCAAGCAAGTCTTCCATATGCCCTCCCAACTTCCCATGACTGGATTTTCGTAAGACAGCCTCCCTCCTTAATGCCTGTCTTTTCTAATAGGCTCTACGCTTGTCTCCTTGAGGATTTTGCTCTTATCCCAGGTTATTTCCCACCACCATCGCTGGCCCTATGGTGACTCCCTCCACATTTCACAGCTTAGCACAACAGAGGTTCTCCTGGATTCCCTTCTCCCCTTTCCTTCCTCCAGTTTGTGCTCCAGCACTTCAATGTTGTGCCAGTCATGGTGGCCTCGGTTTCTGGCCAACGACACTTCTGTGCATGGGACACGAACACCCACTTTGTATGCCGAAACAAAACCAAGAGATCCTAACAGCTTCAGATCCAGGCAGGCGACCCTTCAGCACAGGAAATGCGGAAGAGGCTCTTTGGGGACTCCAAGTCACTTAGAGGATGTAAGGTCAAAGTCCCATGGAGATTATAAGGCTTCCTGGGCAGAACAGGGACATAATTAGACATTGGACCAAGTGACCTCCAGAAGCCCCCTCCACCTCAGTAAGTTGTACAACACCCTCCAGCTCATATCTCTGTCTAAAAACAAACCCCCAAAACCTGAACACATCCTAAAGCCCTCTTTTTTCAAAGCTAAGGGTACTATTGTTTGCTTTCACGAGACAAGTTTAGTCCTTGAAACTCCAACCTCAATCCAAGAGCCCTCTTTTTCACTGCTAGTTCCCATTTCAACCTGTCCCCTTGTGGGAGACATCAGCCTGCCAGCCCCACGAAGTCCCTGAGAAGCAGCAAGGCTTTGATGAGAAACACATCTTGGAAGAAAGATAAGAAACTGCTGAGTTGTGCCAAGGTGGCAGGGAAAAACAACGGACAATGCAACACCGAGCTGAGGAAAAGTCCTGAACTGGAGTTCCTGCTGTCTGAACAGTGCCTGAGCGAGCAGGTGATTGGTCTGTGCAGTGCCTGTTAAGAGTGGTCCTGTGCTGACAGGAGAAAAGGTTGATGTCTAATTGCTGATTTGGTAATGATGAAGTAAGAGCTTTGTCGAGAGCATAAGTATGTACTATTGGAAAAATAAATGGCTTTGCTTGCTATAACTCTCATAGAGTTATAGCACCATCCCCTCCTTCTCTAAACGGTGACAAGACTCTCATCATGCACTGAAGGTCTATGACCTTTGTTCACTGAACTGCTTCAGCAGGTATCCAACCACCCCCTCCCCAATCTCACGTTAAAGATTTAAAAAAAAAAATAAAATCCATACTGTGAAGAGAGAACATTAGCGACAAACCCTCCGCATTTGTGTTAATGTTTCATTACGTTACCAGGACCCCCTCGATGCCTTTTCAAGTCCCAGAGTATATTTATCCACCATTGTGTGTACTAGCGATATGACTTGCAATTACCCTATTGTGGTCCCATGCCCGCCATGGCCAGCTCTCCCTGAGACATGAAACACTGCTGCAGGGGTGAAGGTTTTCATCCATAAACTGGTGCTTTCATTTGACAGGCTTTGATGAAATTTTCATAAAGCTGGAAGAACGCTTGCAGGTTATTATAAAAGAGACAATTACAGGGCCCATAATAAGGGCCTGTGACTAATGACAGCATTCCCCACTGACAGGTAAATACCCAGATAACTGGCATTTGACATGGAGGGGGAAGAGATCTTGCGGTTTAGGGTTTTTTGGTCAAAAAAAAGGCACAGATGGAAAAAGTAATCTCAGGCAGATCTACAGCAAAATTTCCCATACTACTGATGTCACGTAAGATTTGCTCTATCTAATGAAGTGTCACCAGCAGCAACTAGGGACAGGTGCTTCAGAGAGGAGTAAAGGGCATTATGAACCAATATGGCATGAGGGAAGCTTCCCTTATGGTCCTCACAACACCCAGGAACTAGTTCGAGTTTGAAGAATTTAGCAGACTGAGTGCAGAGAGAAGATGAAATGGTGCTGAATATCAAGCAAATAATCTGACCTCCTTCTGAGCCAACGCTGGCTAAGATGCTATTTTTAAGGGCATCAAATCAGGTCCAATTTGTTCTCATTTTTAAAGGAGTCTTCCCAAGACTGGATTTGAAAAGGGCAAAGCCCCATCTCCGGCTCATCACAAAGAGGTAGTCAGACTGCCTGTACCTCACGTGAGGGATGAGTTCATGGGAGGCGCAGGCTGGGATAGCCCTGCTGTGACTGGGAAGGCAACCCTGTCGCTTGTGGGAGAGCAGCCACCTGGCAGGTCACCTCTCTCCCAGACAAGGACAGGTCATACATCTCCTGATATCCCAACAGGGACACTAGTCTAAATAATGGATCCAACACCTTTCCCTCGATGCAGTGTTGTCACTCCTGCCCTGGAGTCACCGGGTCTGACCCAGGGACCCCACAGAGCCAACAAGAATTCACTGCTTCTTTCTTATCACACTGGCTATCCTGGTGAGGGGTCTACACCCTGCTTCAGCTCTCCCACCACCCCCTGCCTCACCCTTCCCTGTCCTTGTTCAGAAACCCTCAAAGTCCTTCTACAATCAGCAAATCATTTCCTGGCACACCATACATCCAAGTCACGATGCAAACTCTTCCCGAGCCAACTTGTTGGTCACAACATAGCAAAACCAGTCTGAGGCTCCACAAGGCAGCCACATCCAACAGGAAAGGCAGTCACCATCCCCTTCCTCCAGGCTGTTCTCAGCATTAAAAAGGCTTATTTCATGGTTGAATCTAACGTCAACTTCTAGCTGTTGCATACTCGGGGGAGGGGGTGGGGGTGTCAAAGGGTCTGAAAACCCTCCCACTGACTATCACTTACAACCACTCATGTGCAGCGCTCAAATTGCTTCAGTATCACAATGATAACCTGATCTGGTAACAGTCTTTGCAGTATTTCCTCATCATCCATTGTGTGCAGACACCAGAACTGGAAGGGATATGAGCTGCTCAACCCAGTGTAGGCACCCTTTTTCATCACCACATCAACTGTTGAGATGACCACACCTAAAGACTCTGGACTCTCCACCTACTCTTCATGCCAAAGACCTTCAAAACAGGCATCCCAATTTCAAGAACATCCCCCTTCTTATATTTCTTGTTCCTACAGGTATTTGATAATTCATGACTGAACAAGGAGTGAACAAGGAGTCCAAGCTTTCTTATGGATTCTCATTAAAGTTTGCATTCCTGGCCTTTCTTCTCAACTTTTAAGCAGGATTTAATTTAGGCCGGTATGAGAGAGAAAGGGTAAAAGGGCAAACTCTCCTGACATTACAAGCATCTTAAGTCTGTACACTAAATGCAATTGACTTCACCCCAAATAGTTATCTCAAAGAGGCTCAGGTTTCCCTCAAGACAAAATAAGGTTTGAGACAGGGTGTTACGTCCTGCTCAGAAGAGGGAGACAGGTGACTTAGATTTGTAAATCCCCAACGGAGTGGACAACGGTGAAACAAGCCTCAAAGTCCAGACTTTCATTAACTTCCCACAATGTACCATTTGGGCACACGATAATTGCCTAAGTATATAACGAGTTGTGGCAAGCAATACAGTGTGCCTTGAATTGCTTAATGGTAGTGAAGAAATTGGGGGAAAAGGAAAGGAGGGAGATAGAAAGAATAGAGTAATAGAGATCACTGGTCTGGGTTCCTGCGTCAGCCCCACCAGCGAGGATTCCAGGAGGCATCCATCTCTTTCACTTCCCTTCACTCTCAAACCGCCCCCCTCCTTGCCCCCCCACTCAATTTATACACATTTTCCCTGGGTCTGTTCCCTACCTACCTAGGCAGTCTGTGGGGAGGGGTGAGGTGTTTCATGGGATGGGGTAATTAGCATGATCTTGTTAATCTTCGTTAGCATATTCCGGGGTGTCATCTTTAATATGCATTTTGCGGATAATAAAGCAAAGTTCATTCACTGGACAGATGGGCCTTGAAACTCGTCCAGGTGCCGCAGAGCAGGGCTGTCCTGTCTCCACAGAGCTCCCCCCTCCAGCTGCATCCTGTGTTATTCTGGCAGCCTTATCAGCTTCGACCTCCACACCATCCACCCCATGACTACAGTTTCATTACTTGCAAGTGTTTGAGCCATTCCTTAGCTCAGAGTCCCTCCACTCCCCCCACTCTTCCTCTTTCTCAGGCTGTTTTTCTCAAGTCTTTGTTTCTCACAGGCCTGTTTCTTTCAGGACCTGTTTTTACAAGTCGTCTCTCACACAGGGAGGAACTCCAGATCCTGAATAACACTGAAGAAATCAAAAAGTTGCATGCAGTGGCTATTCCTAGAGTACAGCCAGCCCAGAAACCTGAGCTCTGGCAACACCTGGTGAGATCAGGTACCCAGGCTGGGAGCCAACATCTGCCGAGGAGTCTCTGAATGGTCCTGAAGCAAAGCAAATGCCAACAGCCTACTCTAGCCACGAGCACCCCAGCAATGCAAGTGAAAGGAGACATTTACCCTCTTGCAAGATATTGCAGGTTAAAGCTCATTCTTTAACAACACTTTTAAAAACACAACAATTTTAAAAACAAAAATGTCAGTGAAAAGGTGGGTGGTCCTCTTTACCTTGCACTCTTCATCCAGTAGGTCCAAGATACCCAGTTTTGCTTCAATAAGGTCGATGCAGGGTTGGTTATCGTAGAAGTCTATGAGAGTCCAAGGGATTCCCTCCTTCATATACTCTTCTTGCTCCAGCTTAAACACGTGCTGAGAGTGGAAAAACAGCAGAGTTATGGACTGTGACCTCAACCATCACAGTACTAGCCCCTTCCCCTACCACCCTCTTGTCCCCGCCGGAGAAGCTGTAGAAGCTTTATGTGCCCTCATGTACAGCTTCATACAAGCCCTGCCATTTACACAACCTAGCTCTGGCAAGAAAAATAAAAACTTTACAAGAGGAAACCATGGAGAGGGGGAAGAAAAAAAAAAAAGAAAAAAAAAAAAAGGCTTTCAATGATTTTCCCTAGAAAATGACTGTCACTACATCTGTGTGGAAGCCAGACATTGAAATGGCAACGACATATATATCTCTTGGGCTGAGAAAAATCCCTCTCCTTCAGTGCTCTGCTGATTAAACTAGTGACCTGCAGCACCGGGCTGAGCGTGTGTGACCCCACCTGTGACCAGAGCTTCACAAAGAGCACCCATCATTCTAGAAGGGAGGTCATCAGCAGTCCTGACCCAGGAACACTACTATTGCAGATATTTTTTTTTTTTAATATAATTAAAAAAAAAAATCTTTGCATGGCTTATATATCTCAGACCTCTGCCCAAGCAGATAAATTGTCTCTGGCTATTTCTGCGATACTCTAAGCATATTAAAAAAGGATTTTTCAAATGCACTTTTTTCTTCAAGATAGCTCTTTAAAACCTCTTCAAACATGTCCTCTCAGAGTTTGAATTTATAAGCTTCAGAAGTGATATTTGGACATACTAAGATATCAATAGTGCAAATTCAACCCATAATTTACTCTTCATTTTTAGAAGCACTGATCTGATCCATTGGATATACTGCAAAAGTTCATGTCCATGCATATGATATGGTTTCAAAGTGCCAAACTACTCCGCAGTACTTAGCTGGTCAAATTTAACGTTTTCTCTTGTATCCTGAAGCTAATAGTATTTTTTTTCCCTTCTTACAACAAAAACAGAAGACAACCCCTTACTGGTTTCATTTCTAGGTCAGGTAAGCGCTTGTATCTAATAAAATAGAAGCATCTCAGGTTTTTGTGAGGCATGGCCAAGTGAAAAGAGTGTGTCCAATCCTGCTACTTAAGACACAGTTTTCATTGCAGAGGTTTAAGCCACACTTACTGGGCAGGTTTCTACCCATGCTTTGTCTCACACTGAAAATCAGGACTCGGACAAGACCATTCAGGTTTCAGTTACGACTGAAACCATGCAAAAAACAAGCAAACAAACAAAAAATTGGCAAACTATCTACTTATTCAAAACCATCAATGGACCTCTGCATAAACCATTTGCAAACCTGCTTGCCATATAAAGCTTATAAATGAACCAAGCAACATTTTTAACTTGATACGAATATTTAGTGCAACTGCAATGCACTGTCATTGCCCAGGAGAGACAGTATCCCAAGGACTACATTCATGCTGGCCATGCAATCCGGCCAGGCTGCAAGTAAACGCCATTCAGCAGAAGTCAGACACACAATAATCCCACCCTGATACATTTTCTGCTAAATTTTATGGAACGTTTCCAAGCTGATCTTACCAAGTTGAACTGTTGCTGGAGCTTTTCATTCGCATAGTTGATACAAAACTGTTCAAAGCTATTCACTTCAAAAGTTTCAAATCTGCAAAGCAATGAATAAATCAGCATTAAGCATTGCTTCGTCTCAAAATCTATTTTTCTCTGCAACGATGTCATCTGCGTGACGGGGAACACCAGTTATTCAACCGTCTCTTTGCATTCCTCCTATCCCAGATCTACACTTTATTCCTCATTCCCCGAAACGTCTATCTTTCATTGTCACAGCTCAAGGGATTCAGGAGGTCTCTTCTGCTACGCATGAATGAGATATCTGGTACGACCGTAGCTTCCTGCCCATCAGGCAGCAGTGCTGTCGGAGACAAGACACGTAACAGCCTCTCTTGGAAAAATATTATGAAATATTAAGCCCAAATATATTCACGGCAAAGGTGATGGAGAAACAGTACCTGCTGTCTCAAAAGACCCAACATGGTATTTTTAATGCAATTCAACAGAGCTGAAAAAGAAGGTATTAAATTCATAATTACAGCCTCTGCATTGCATCCCTGATACCACAAAGATTAGATACACATAAGCGACTTCTGGAAGGCAGAAGAAGAAATGGTGCTTTCAGCTCCAATTCCAACATGTTCCTGAGAGGGAGTTTGGTGTTGGTCTTGGTGATCCTCATCTTCACAAGCGCTTCCACAGCTACACTTGCTGAAACATTATCCTACCCCTCCACGAGCTACCAGTCAACTCCAAACTGAGCTAAAAATTGGCTTCCTAGTCACAATCGGAAAAGAAAAAATATGCAGTCTTAATAACACAAGCTACAGGCAAGCAGGTTAAGAGCCAGTGGAGCCCCTGTGGCAGTCAGGGTGGAAGCACAACACCCAGGGACAGGCACAGGCAGCTGGGCTTGCTCTTCAAAAAAAAAAAAATTCTCAGCTATCGCAGGGAAGTATGTTATTTATATTTCTTTTTTAAGGCACAGTTGGAAGGGGGAGGAAAAAAAGTCTCTGACACATGACTGTAAGGATTAAACCAAGGAAAGAAGTGGCAAGGCTCTCTGTGCTTAACAAATAAACTGCTGTAATGATAAACACGCGGCAAAATAATTGTTCTAGTAATAGATGCTGTAGGAACTGGCACAACTGTCTTAAAGCCCTCCCCCCCACCCCCCCGCCCCAAATCAGTATTTCTGGTACTGAGAACTGCCTGGCTGTTTTCCACACAGTGCAGCTACTCCCCAGGTACTGCCAGGTGGTAAATGCCCTCACCACACAGAATGCCTGAGCTCTCGGGGAAAGGCAGTGTGAATCTGCTGAAGGAAAAGGGGGATTGGGAGAAAAGAGACACTTTTGTGCTTTCACCAGCCCCACAGCCCTTGAGGAAACGCAGGACTGCTCCCCCTCCACCTGCCCCGGTGCTGGCATTTCCCCCAGAGCTGGTGCAGCCCGTGCTGAGCAGAAGATACTCAATCCAACCCCCATCCCAGGAACTGAGCTTTACAATCTTTAAACAAAATCTGGTGTTTGGGACCAATAAGTGTTTATATTAAAACACAGGGCCAGTGCCTCTGTGATGAACGTGTCCTTGAAGAGCTCCCTCTGTGCTTGATATCTTGGTTGCACAGCCGTTGTGCTGAGCAGACTGGAGCCTTCAGCTCTTGCAACTAAAGGGATGTGGCTTTCCCAGGACTCCCTGAAAATACCAACTCTTGCAAGTTCATGATCAGAGCAACAGGGCAAGAAAAGATTTAATTAAAACAGAGGTGGAGAGGCACGGCAAGGTAGGTGGAAAAACGCCACGAGAGCAGGGGTACAACATGAAAAGATATCAGAGTGGAAACTCTTTTTCCACTTCAGAGACACCAGATGTGATTTATGAACCCTCTCAGTGAGTGCTGGCCAGGGGCAGAGGAGCTGTACAACATTAACTCCAAGCAAGATTTCATGAAGTTGCTAATTAAGGGGACCCTGCCAGTTCAATCTGCTAAATGACAGAGCAGTTTGGTCCCCAGCTCCGCGCATGCCCTTGCCAGAAGGTCCTACCCACACAAAGCGACTGCGCTAAGATGACGTCCTAATGGAAAAAGCCAACTAATGGCCGTTTGGTTTATGTTCATTTTAGTGCACTATTATCTTGGTGCAAAACGCAACCATATTCACCACTCCAACCCATCACCACAGCTCCCGGGAAGGCACATCCCAGCTTGAGGACAACTCTGATGAGCAGATGTCGGGGGGAAAATGCTGCATTTTGGTTTCTCTCCTGTTCCGCTGTGCGGCTGATATCTCCTAAATCCACTGCAGCACCGGGGTTTATACTAAAATATTTAAAGTTCATAAATATGTCCAGCATACAGCTGGCCACCTGGGTGTTCACATTTCCCTTCACATGGCAAACAGAGGACAAACAAGCTGTCCCCACCAAGTCCAGGAATGCCACATGAATCCACTTTTCAGACGTACTTCAGTCTTGCTACTATAGCAAATGACACACTTTCAGTATATATGTAAAAGCTTTCAATGCTGCACCCTCTCACTTCAGTGATAACAGAGAATTAAGGATGCAGAGTCGAGAATTAGGAGACAAATCCCACAGCCTCTGCACCCTCGGTTTGGACCCTGTCCCTAGAAACCCCACCCATGGGGACAGTCCTCCCCTAGGAGTGCCGGGACAGAGGTGTTTTCTGGATGTCAGGGAGATGCAATGAAGATTGCTTGAAGGCTCCCTGCCTTTCCAGCTTAATTTCTCTCCCAGAGAAAAAGGAAACAACAGCAGACATTTGAAAAAAAAACCCATAGAATTCTAATATTTTGACGGAATGCATTAAAACTCCCAAATATCCTGTGTTTGGGGAACAAAACCACTCCCAAGCACTGCAGAGAATCAGGCTGTCAGCACCCAAAGTCCCTGCATTGTTAATTTAGACAGTGATACCCCGTCTCTGAAAGGGATTTATGGTCTCTTCAGGAGAGTGTACTCACACATGAGCATTACCGTCCAGGGCATGGACACCCCTCCCCTGCAAACCTGCCTCTTTCAACAGGACCTGCAGGTCCCCATGGGAAAAAAACCCAACGTGCTGTATCCTGGGGTGACACCAGTGCTGTAAAAGCATCTGTGAGCCCACGCAGTGAACGTGACGCACAGGAGACCTGCAACTAAGGGAGGTTTTTCTTCCATACTAACAGGTTTTCAAGCCCAGGTTAATCTTTCATGAGCGTTATCCTCAAGTGTCCTTTTATTCAGATTTCTGAAAGACTGCATCTGATTTTCTAACTCAGACATCCAGTTTTCTGCACTGATCCACTGTTGTCCACATGGCTCCATCTCACTTTATTTATCATATCCCAGCCTGCAGAAATCTCTATTTGTAGGGACACTGATGGGAAACAGCTTTGCCACCTCATACAGTCTTTAAACCAGACTGTGCCGATGCCAGCAGATGATTTAAGATCTTCCAGGCCCTGTGCTATCTACCTAGGACAGGAACTTGCAAACCTCTGACAGTGATCTCACCATCTCAAGCCATCTCCCACTGAAATCCCAAACCAAAGAGGACTATAACCTTATCATACTTGATACAAGTGTTCCTGTAAACTTTGCCGTGTTGCAACCATCACTGATGTAGATGAGCAGGCGGTGGGCTACACCAATGCTCCAGCACTGACCTCTGGCATCATTTCTGCTGCCATGACTGCCCATGTTGAAATCATCATCCCAAATACCAGCAACTGTAGAAACCCCATGGGAGGTTTTATATGTAAGGTCCAATTCCAGTAACTGTGTAGGTATTTAAGCCATAAAAGCTTTCTGCAGCTGACCCAGAACCGCTTTGGCAGGATTTCAGTCTGAAGTTCAGGTTCACCTAGATCTGACAGACCTTATGAGGAGTCTGCCGTTACACAAGTTGGGATTGAGCAAGCACAGAGACTGCTTCCTGGAGCAGCTACAACTCATCCATCCCACCTTCTCCTCTGAAACAGGAGCAACCAAGCATTTTAATACATTAAGGGAGCACAGGAGGTCACTGCTGTCCCAGTTAGAACCATAGAATCTTAGCATGGTTTTGGTTGGAAGGGACCTCTAAAGGCCATCTAGTCCAACCCCTGCCATGGGCAGGGACATCTTCACTAGATCAGGTTGCTCAGAGCCCCGTCCAGCCTGGCCTGGAATGTTTCCAGGGATGGGGCATCCACCACCTCTCTGGGAAACCTGTGACGTCTCCCTTGTCCTTGCTCACCAGACACATAGAAAAGGGATGGTGCTGAAAGAGGGGAGGAGAAAACCCAAACCCAGAAGACTTCTTTCCTCTTCCACCCCAAAAGTGACATAATCCCTTTGTTCATTTTAGCTGAAGTGCTGCAGAGAAGCAGAAGATGGAGGAGGAACGAAGAGATTATGTCAGTTCCTCTTCTGCCAGCGCTCAAGTGCCAGGACCACACACCGGACAGTAACTAGTACCCAGTCCAAATTTAGAGCAGCAGATTGTCCCTGAGGTTGCAGGCTGCAAGCCTTGCCCTTGGTTATGGCAGAGGTTTTCTGAACCTTACCACTGCCACAGGTTCCCAAAGTCCTCCAAAAGCTCTCACTGTAGCAGTGGTCTCAAAGCTGAAGAACCAAAGTAGTTTCCTCAGACGCCACAGCAACCCCAGGCGGAGCCAAGCACAGTCTTTGGTCTCTTTATCAGCACCTTTACCCCTAGCTCAGGTTTAAGTTTGATGCTTTAAACTGCACAGGGGGCAGAAATCCCAAATGGAACAGCATGGGAGGTAAATCCCAAAAGCCAGCACTCAAACAGATCTGCGTGCATCATTTTGGGGTCAGGACTGCTCAATCTAAACGAGAATCGAACCTGCAAATCACACACAACTGCGCTTTTTTGCATCCCTCTCTACTATTCCCACCACCTGCCACAAGCCAAGGTCAAGTGTGCACCGCCAGAGGGCTGAGACAAATCAGAAAGGAGTAATTAAACAGCCTTAAAAGCAGAAAGCATGCCTACCCGTAGATATCAAGCACGCCGATGAAGGAGTGCTGCTTGACGGAGGTGTGCAGGGCCTTGTTGATGTGCTGCACGATCCACTTGAAGAGCTGGGAGTAGATGTGCTTGGCCAGGGCGTCCCTGGTGTTCACCACCTGCTGCCAGGACATGTTCTTCACATAGGTCTCAAACGTGGTGACGAGCTTGAGGTGGCAAAGCCAGTGCTGCATCTGGCTGTAATCCACACCCAGCAAGCTACAGAAGTTGTTCAAGTGTTCGTCCTCGTTCTGGGGGGTAACAAGAAGCAAAGTCAGCAGGTTGGTGACACTCCAAAACTGGAGCTTTAACACTGAGCTCACAGATCAGCGCACAAAATAAGCAGCATTTCATAATGATCTAGGGAAATAGTGTGTTTCTCTGTGGTTGATAGGGGACAGAAGAGCAATGAGCACTCATCTAGTTGCGCCAGCCATTATGGACACGGACAAAATGGCTCACACAGAGTTCAGAACTGTGGTGCACCCTATGGCTTTGCTTAAGGTCTTGATTTTCATAAATAGCAGATTTCTACAGTGACTGCCAACAGGAGAGAGCACTCTCCACTTTACTCCTCCTCGAGCTGCAACTACATGCTCCTTCAGCAGAACCTTGATTAAGCCTAAATCAAAGATTCAGGTATTCCACTACACCATGCCTTTTACAAACTAAGCCCATTTTGAATAATAAAGTTGCAAAATGTGCATTACCAGAAGGGCTTGTCTTTTGCATAATCAATAAAATGAAATGTGAACTTCAATTTCTCTGGTGCATTATATTTTTTCCCAGCCTCAAACAAGGGTGAGGCAGTTCTGAGTCTCTATTATGCTAAAATAGCAGGCACTGCCTTTTGGACAATGAGGAATCAATTTCCCTTTCTTCAGTGTAATAATGCATAACTAAAGGAAGCAAATTGTTTCCAGTTAGGTAGCTGCATGTACAGGAGCTGGATGGGTTTGGGGATGGAGAGAAAAATGCGTCTTGTAAGACCTCTGCGATGCGTTATTGCTATGATACCCTTCTGACCATGGATTCAAAGCCCTAACAGGATTCATTTCATACCACGCAATTTCATCTGAAGGTAACTGAACAACATGAACTCCATTACAGAACTCAACACTGTTGGAGCAGACCATTTTCACGTACCCATGTTGCCAAATATCAAGTAAATTACCCCCAGCATCTAACTAAAGGCACACCACATAATTTCAAGGGTACCACTAAAAGTGTGTGCAGAACACATTTTAACACTTTATTTACAAGCAAACACCACAGTCTGGGATGCAATGGTAATTGACAAGACAGTATTTTCCACATATTCACTTTCCTTTCCTCGCCTGAACAAACATAGAAACAGAAGAAACACCACTAAGAAATCTTTAGTCTTATTTATTCTTGCTAAATTAACCGTTCGGTGCCCCTTTAAATACTAGATGGCCATGTTACAAGCAGGAGCCTCATAGCTTTGCCTGTAGCAAAGCAGTTGTACAGCATCACACGTGCTGGTGGAAGTCATGTTTCCTCAATACTCTGTGCAACAAGTCTTTTAAGAAAGCAGGAAGAGTTAAAGATGGGTAGGGATATACGATAGTAAGTGATCTTTGAATCATATTGCTGATGGGTTTGCTAGAGAGGAGAAATAATGCACTATCTTCCAGGAAAAACAAACCAGGAAATCACAGAATCCCAGAATCCTTCAGGTTGGAGAAGCCCCTCGGGATCATCGAGTCCAACCCTCAGCCCGACTCTACAAAGTTCTCCCCTACCCCACATCCCCCACAGCTCATCCCAACGGCCCTGAAACCCCCCCAGGGATGGGGACTCCCCCCTCCCTGGGCAGCCTCTTCCACTCTCGGACCACTCTTGCTGGGAAACATTTTCTCCTCCTGCCCAGCCTGACCCTCCCCTGGGGCAGTTTCCAGCCGTTCCCTCTTGTCCTGTCCCTGATCCCCTGGGAGCAGAGCCCAGCCCCAGCCTCTCTGCAATGTCCTGTCAGGAGCTGCAGAGAGGGATGAGGGCTCCCCTCAGCCTCCTCCTCCTCACACTCAACACTCCCAACTCCTTCCCTGGCTCCTCACAGGATTGATTCTCCAGCCCTTCCCCAGCCTCGTTGCCCTCCTCTGCCCTCGCTCCAGCCCCTCCAGATCTCTCTGGGATTGAGGTGCCCAGACCTGGACACAACGCTCCAGGTGTGGCCTCACCAGTGCAGAGCACAGGGGACTGTCACCTCCCTGCTCCTGCTGGTCACACCAGTGCTGACACAAGCCAGGATGCCGTTGGCTTTCTTGCCCACCCGGGCACACGCTGGCTCCTGTTCAGCTGCTTGTCCATGAGAACCCCCAGACCCTTCTCTCCCAGACAGCTCCAGCCACCCCTCCCTGAGCCTGTAGCCACGCAGGGGGTGGTTGTGGCCCAAGGGCAGGACCTGGCACTTGCCCTTGTTGAAGCTCGTCCCGTTACTGTTGGCAGCTGATCCAATCTATCCAGGTCTCTCTGCAGAGCCTCCCTGTCCTCATGCAGATCGACCCTCCTGCTTAATTTGGTGTCATCTGTGAACTCACTGGTGATCCACTCCGTGTCCTTGTCAAGATCATCAATAAAGATGTTGAACAGAAATGGTCCCAACACTGAGCCCTGAGGAACACCACTTGTGACTGACCTCCAACTGGATTTAACTCCATTGACCATCACTCTCTGGGACCAAAGATCATGATGTGTTTTCAAAAAAAGCAAACAAAACCAGGAAGAAAAGGGCTTTCTACCAAAGGATGTGCTGAGCAGCTCAACACATCCAATGTGGTCTGATTTATGAGCACGCAAAGCCCCCCACGCACCCCACTCTTGCTGGTGACCTACCAATATGGTACAAGTGTCCTTGCTGCTTTCCACGTGGATTTCCAAGTTCCCTAGGTGCAGAATGGCAGCAATTATCCTAAAAATGGTCATCTGATGAGACTCCTTCACTCCTGTGGGAACAATTGGTAACTGATTTTCACAACAGAAAAACAACATCAATTTTCAATTTATTTGAAAACACTTGTGGTGTTTTGATTTCCTTCCCAGGCTGGTGGTCTTCAGAGTTATCCAACCTCTCCCAATAAACTCATCATAAACCCTCAGTAAAGTCATCGCTCAAAAACGACAGCAGAGACTGTGAAGAGGAGCTCCTTGTGGGATTTCTTTACCCCTATTGATTGATTCAAAGCAATTTTACCACAGGTGGGCTTAATACTTCTGTGAACACGCACAAAAACAAGGATGCTACTCCATACCGATCAGACAGGATCAGAGCTACAGGGGCTCCGTGGCTTTTATAAAACAAGGAGTTGCTTTTCTGTAATCATAGCCCAATGGCAAGATCTCGTTGACAACTGAAGCACAGAAATTACAACTTATTGCCAACGTCCCACAAAGGGAAGAGAATATGAAAGCCGTGCACACAGTGCACAATGCCTCCAGACTGGTGTTACAGCAAGTCACCAGGGAGGTGATGTGACGCTCTGCCTGACCATCCCCAGCATCTCAACAGGAGCCACACGTTGTGGGTCTTCATTGGGGGTGTAAGATATTATTGCTTTATATATTTTTCTGGCAGGCTTTTGCCAACATTCCCAGCAGGAGCTTTGCTCAGCAGCAGCCTGCACACTGTTTTCTTGCCATATCTTGCATTTTTACATCCCAGCTGGGTTTCTGTGCCCGTTTTGTGTTCAGTGCTGGTGTCCTAATTATACACCCAGTGTCTGAGACCTCACCTGCTGGGTTTTGAATTATCAAGAACTTCCCTTTCTCTCTCTTGGGACTTTTCTGTTATCAGCACTGTGAGAAATGTTTCAAGGTTACTAAAAGGAGCAATTCTCTGCTGTTTCTTGGCACTCTTAATTGGAGTTAAGCCTAGCTAGGGTGGGGTTTTGCAGATAAATCTGACGTCTCCTTGTTACACATATTATAAAAAGGCAAGACTGTTCACCAGGCCCTGAACAGAAGCAGACAGAGCTGGGAAACGCTGAAGGAAAATTAAGAAAGGCAGAGCCAGAGGAAGCATGTAAAGAGCAGGAAAACATCAAAAGTGGCATCAGAGGAAGATGCTCGCACAGTGCTTCATAGGGACCAGCAAGGAGAGAGGGGGTCTTCTTGGGGAGGCAGAGAAGGAGACCAAAGTGAAACTACACATGGCAAGGGGATGGGGAGAGAGTTCCCCAGGTATTACAGTCCCATGGGCAAGTTTGGAGCAACCACTGGAATCCTATTTTTTTGAGTACTTAACAGTTAGAAGTCACAGAAGCCAGACAAGAGCAGGGTAAAGACAAGACCACGGCTGACACCCTGAAGAAACAGAGATCGAGCCCATCTAAAACACAAAGAGGGCAAATCTGGGGGAAACACTTGCAGTTGTAACACTTGAAATGAGTCCCCACGCTCGCTGCCAGCGCAGTGCAGTGGCTGCGATCCAGCTGCTTAGGGAGATTTCACAGCTGGCTGTGAACATCACGAGCTCCTCTCTCAACAGAGGCACCGAGACTTACCAGGATTTAAAAACTTGGCTTCAGATAAATATTAATGAACTGGGAAAGCTTTTTCCCCCCTGCAAAACTCGTTTTTCCTTTTAAACAATCGCTGCAGGCCAGCTATGGACACTGCTCAACTGCAGCATGCACAGGTGGTTGCTGCGGCAGTAGATTTTGCAGCTGGTCATGCAAACGTGGACTCTGCACAGCTCATTATTCCCAGGAATCAGCTACTCTGTACAATACTGTGATGGTCCATGAAGTGACATCACCCTCAACTCACAGATTGAGCCGCAGAGTAATAGCTCTTTTCCTGCTTGTAAACAGGGTGAAAAAGTAGCAAGTCAAAGCTGCAGAACAGCTTCAGATTGGTTTATTTAGGTTTCTCTTAAATTCAGCATCCTCCTCCACTCACTGCTGCTTCGCAGAGAGCTGTGAAGAAACACTGCTGCAGCTCATACTAAAGAACAAGGTAAAGCCAACTGGGTTGATAGGAACATGGATTTATACCTCTCAGTGTTACAGAAGAGCCATATAATTCAGGTAAAATACTGAAAACATTTGCAAGAGACTTCTGCTGGGAAACCTCCAAGCAGAGCAACCCCTTACCAAGCAGGGTGAAGGCATGCCTGGTTTTCTCAAAGTCATCAGCATCGTCCACACCACTGATAGATGTGTCACCCCCCTGAGAAGTGTAGAAAAAGTCTTCAGCACAAGCTAGGAGAGAAGAAACACAAGAAATGCATCAGCAAGCAGCAGCTTTCCGGAGTGTGCACTGGGATGCTCTCAGTCCTGCCCATCCCCGAAGGGCACCCATCTCCTTTAAACTATGGTTTACTTCAAAATGGGTGAAGTATAACCCTGACAAGCGACTGTAACTACTTCTTGCAGGGGTGAAACCCCTTCCCCATGCAAAACAAGTTCAACCAAGGCAGAGCTGTGTTATATTGGGGATTCAAATAACTGTTCCATTGCACAGACGCAGACTATTTCAAATACTGAAGTTACTACTTTCAATTTTTTTTTAACCTGTTTTATAAACCCATGACCGATTCAGATACTTTAACACCTTTCCCACATAATGCCTTAAACCTGGGGAGCAAAGTGAATGGAGAATCGCCCACAGTGCCAGCATTACACCATTTAAGCATCTGTGCTTCAGCAAAGTTATTTCAGGACAACGCAAAGCTAAAATCCTATGGACACTGAGAGGTATTTCAAACGCAGACACAAGAAGAAGAGATCACCAGATTTATATCTAAAGGTTCACAGGCAATCATTCCTCCTTAAAACAAGGGCATATTTGAGGCCAAAACCATTAAGATATACTAGGCTGAGTCCTGGTAGAGCCGGAGCAGGCTTGGCCCCAGGGAGGGCTGGGGGAGCCCAGGAGATGGGACAGCCTCCCCATCCCACCCAGAATCAGTTCTCAGCTTCAGCTTGTTTCAAACCGGGTAGGGCTGACTTGCCAAGAAAAGCTCAGAAAGATCGTTAACACTCACAAATATATTTCCCAAGTCTCATGGAAATAATGAGGAAAAACAGCCTACTGCGCGTTCCGCATCAGCCTGCTGGTAACCTTTAAAATCACTGCAATCTGCACTTTTTTTTTGACTCACATTGTCACCAGAAAGTCCCCAACCCTTCCCAGCCCTCCCGCAGGCTTCTACATTAGCTGTACTTTCACGCTGCAAGAAAAACATTTAATTCTTTTTGGCATACAAAGCCCTGGGACCCGGAGGTTTCAGCAACTCTGCTCATTGTCAGAGCATTGGGAAAAGGGGCAGAAAATGCTGATTGGGGTCAGAGAGATGATGTCCTTCCTGGTCCTCCCAGCACAATAGGAGCTCACCCAACCCGTGGCGGAGCACATCTTGATGTTGCTGCATGTTGCCCTGCAAGACGGATCCAGGGCTGGGTGGTGGTTGATGGGACTGGGATGTTTGACAGGTGCTGTGCCATGCAGAAAGAGGATTACAGCACCTCTCAGCTACACCGTTTCCAGCCAGAGTGCCCCATTTTACTGGGAAAACACCTAACTATGGGCACAGCACCATACCCCTACCCCCCCATGCCACGGAACGCACCTCAAAGGAAGAACCCTCCATTCCCCATCAGCCTCCAATTTTGACTATCCTCACTGGGATCTGCTTCGGCCTCAAGTCATCTCTTACAACCCACTCCAACAATATTTCAGCATGCATGCAATGATTTTTATAACCACAGAAACCTTTTGATTCATTGCAAACAAATAAAGCACGTTCTCGCTTTGCACCACTGCCCAGGCATCATTCAGTTAGACATCGCACTTACAAAAGGCCGCTGCATCCCACATTTCAAGTCACACATTTACTTTCTAGTTTAAAAATCAAACTTCTAGGATTGCTCTACCTGAATAGCCAACACTTACTGGTTTGCTTTGCTGGGCTCATGTAAGTTGAGAGACTCTTTTGTTTTCCAGAATTTTGCAATATAAAAGACAGTCAAATTCTTTGCACGTGCAAGACCCAGAGGAAAAACAACAGCTCCTACTTTTGATATGGAAAAATATATATGCTCCTCTCTAATAAAAGGTGGGGTTTCACATCAAAATACCCCTTGTTTTGTATAATCCTTGGGAAGACAAGGTTGACAGATAAGGTAAGGTACAGCTCACAAGAAGAAATAAACTTGAGTTTTGACTACTCATCTTGAGATACAGGCTAGTAAATCTAACGCAAAGCTGGTAAAGAAAAAAAAAATCCCTCAAAAGTGAATTGTGCACATCTACACTCACAGGAAACTGCCCAGCACTAGTAATTCAACAAGTCAGGGCAGAGGTTGGTTCACCCCAATGAAATCAGCTCACGGTGCCCACATCCCCATCCCCCGGGAGCCCTCCCTGCCGAGCAGCACCGCATCTGCCAGCTAGGAGAACTTTTTGGGAGGTATTTTTAAGCTATTGCAAGGTGACGGGGCAGGAATTTTGGAGAGAATCACTTCTTTTTCTGTTGTGGTATTTTACCTGAACGCACAAGCAGCAGGCTGTACATAACTGCACAAGCACTGTGGTAAAGTGCAGCTGGAGACTGACACCCACTTTAATCCTTTAATCAAATTCAGATTTAAAATGACGAGGAAGGCTTCCTCGTGGGCTAATGGCCCCGGCATCCACCACCTCCTATGCCATCAGCTGTTTCCATTCTCCCTTGAGACGCCGAAGTCGAGAGCCATGGTCACAACAGCATAAAGGTGTCATGAATGATGCACGGGGAGAGCAGAGAGCTCTCAGCCTTTACTGTTGCCAGTCACCACCACAAATACAGACAATGCTTTTAGACAGCCATGCTGAACAAGACTTGTATTTCCTCTGATCCACATGTTCCCAAGAAGAGAAAGGTGGCTGCACAGCTGGAACTCTCCTGCATCAACTTATCTCCCAGCCTGGGTTGAAATAATTTCTGTCTGAATTTTAAGATGCCAGCAGACAGCATCATGACTTGGGGCATCGCTGCAAAAATGAAGCACATAACCCCATGGCAGAAACGTTTGAAAGTGCTCAAAGGGATATGCTATGGGGTTGTGTGAGCATGCAACAGGACCAAACACAGGCTCATTGACAGCAACTGAGAAGCCACTGTCAGAAAAACATCATTCTGGGAGCCTTATAGACTAAAAGGACGCCCAGGTCCACCACAAGCCCTGACCTACGGCTGGTACACAGTGAATCACGCAAAACTTTCCCCTCCCACCCAGGTGCCCTGGGACAGACATTAAGGTTACACCTAGACCGCCTGAGAAGTGTATCTTATGCCTTAAGCAAACTCACGGATGTGGTTGTGTTGTTTGGTGTCACCGGGCAGAGTATGGACTACAGTTGGGTAATTCACCGAGACTTACTGGTGGCAAAAGGACAAGAACAGGAGTGCTCCCATTTTGGCACCAGCAGTTGGTAAGTGCAGCCAACATGCCTACGGTGACCCAAAAAGGCGTTAAGATAAGCCCCAAATTACCCAGAAACCAAAAGCCCCTCTCTCAACCTACCATTTCTCTGTGGTCACGATGGAAACCTCTGTGAGACTCTGCAGCAGCAAGATGCTCTGCACTGGGATCGCAACCTGCCTCGCTCACCATTTTAAATACTTAAAAACAAGTTTCAAGCCTCACTTAAATACTTACAAACAAGTTTTAAGCCTCGCTTCATTTTAAATACTTAAAAACAAGTTTTAACCCTCACTTCCCTTTTTAAGCAACAGCAAATATTTGAGATTCAAAATTAATTACACCACACCTCTGCACCCCCTGCTGCAAGTGAAAAGCCTCTTAATTCAGGTGTCTCACAGAGATTTTGCTGCAAAATCTGGGGGAAAAAAAACCACAACCAACAACTTGGGATATATCTGAGGAGTTAAGCACTGAAGAAATATAATGGATTCCAAGGACACAACTGCTCCTGCCAAGACTCTGGCCAGATCAACCCATACTCACACTTCATTGAAAAGACAGTTCTTTATGCAAGCTTTGTACAATATTAACACACGATCTCCCTGCATCAGCTGGCAGCTGCCATGGCACGTGGTTCACTGTGGTTCTGCATGCAGCTTCTACAACATACACAGGTTTCTTCCACCACAGCTAACCACCAGCAACAGCTCTGACCCACCACCAGGACTTGCACAGCCAAGGTGACAAGGGCTGGTGTCTCCTCAAAGGTGCCACATCCCTGGAGATGGGCATGAGCAAACCTGTGCATTGCTGAGGAGAAGCCGCCCTTCAAGCTCATCTCCCTGTACCTCCTCCCACTAAACAGGCACAGATGACCTCATCAGTGACCCACATTTCTAAACCTACCATGCTTTCCTGGTGCCATCACACCTAGGCAGCAGCTGTCAGTGCACAGAAGTACTTACTTAGTCCAAGGTCTTTGAACTCTGGAAGATTCATAGAGGCACAAAGCTGATAGAAGATGCGGTAGTTGCGCTCATCCTCTGACTGTGGGGATAACGCCAAGTTACCAGAGACACAAGGAGGTTACAGCAGTGCTCCCACCCTCAGCCCAGTGCTCACTGAGCACAAAGCCACCTTGACCCCCTCCTCTGCTTCCCACCATCAAGACCAAGATGGGGACATTTTGCCACCTGGAGGAAGGAAGTCTTACCCTGACCAATGTACACTGCCCATGCCACAAAGAAAAGAGAGAGACCTTGAGGGGCTGGAGCGAGGGCAGAGGAGGGCAACGAGGCTGGGGAAGGGCCTGGAGAATAAATCCTGTGAGGAGGCAGGGAAGGAGCTGGGACTGTTCAGTGTGAGGAGGAGGAGGCTGAGGGGAGCCCTCATCCCTCTCTGCAGCTCCTGACAGGACATTGCAGAGAGGCTGGGGCTGGGCTCTGCTCCCAGGGGATCAGGGACAGGACAAGAGGGAACGGCTGGAAACTGCCCCAGGGGAGGGTCAGGCTGGGCAGGAGGAGAAAATGTTTCCCAGCAAGAGTGGTCCGAGAGTGGAAGAGGCTGCCCAGGGAGGGGGGAGTCCCCATCCCTGGGGGGGTTTCAGGGCCGTTGGGATGAGCTGTGGGGGGATGTGGGGTAGGGGAGAACTTTGTAGAGTCGGGCTGAGGGTTGGACTCGATGATCCCGAGGGGCTTTTCCAACTTGAAGGATTGTTTAAAAATAATTAACTTTGTATTACCTTCCATAAATTATCCCTCTCTGGGATAAATGGGCTAAGTTAGCCAGCAGGCACTGCACTTCAATCAGATGGTAAGTTCAAAAGAGGTGGCCCACACTTCCCAACGTTGTTTGGTTTTAGGATTTATAGTTGGGGGTGGGGTGGGGGGTGGGGTGGTGTGTGTGTGTGTGTGTGAGGACAAAAGTTTTGCAGGTGCTTCTGAGCTAGATCTCACACACAAACCAAGACAGCTTGTCCTGAGCCCTGCACAAGAAACTGATGGGATGTGCTGCAGCAGATACATCAGCCTCTTCATCCTTCTCCTGCCTCTCCTCCAAAATTGACAACTGCTGCCTGAGATTTATTCTTCCTGGCTCTTTATAAGGTTGGGTAAAAATCTCAGCAGCTGCCCAAAGAAAGGCTCTTAATCCATGCCCAGCAGCCAGGGCAGGAGCAGCGGTCCCTCCTCGGGGCTCAAGCCTCAGACAGATGGAGGCAACAACCAGTGGCCAACTAATGAGTCTACCAGATACATATTCCTCCAGAATGAAGTCATCAGCTTGAGATCATCAAAAACAATGGCAGAAGATTGAGCCTGAAAGACACATCTGGAAGCCATGTCCACCAGGAAAGCTAGTTTTAAAGCTATTTAATTCATAGAAAAGACCCAGACTATTAAATTACTGAAGTACAGCTCCCAAAAGAAAGAAACGAAGGAAAAAAGCACAGGTCCTGACCTGGAATACAACTCGTGATTTTTCCAACAGATATGTCCTCATATTGGCACCAATGATGCGGTATCTTTTATCAAAGCCGATCTGAATGTATTTCCCAAAGCGACTGCTGTTGTCATTCCTTGTCGTTTTAGCATTTCCAAATGCCTGCATAGAACAAAATCAAACATTAATTTTAAATTTAATTTTTAAAATTTTTAAACATTTAAATTTGTAATCAGGGTTACGTAACAGTCATGGGAGGATTTGAGGAAAACACCTTCCCAGATGCAGAAGGCAGAGCCATGGTGTGGCTTTGGGGAGGACTCTTCACCAAAAATGTGGTGTCTCCAGAATTTTTATGGAAGAAAAATGCATATAGACAGCAATGAGTATGTGTACAGTAGTTAGATCACCTGCATCCCAACAGCCACGGCAGTCCTGTTGTGCCTTACAGGCGACTGCTTTGTCAGCTTTGCTCACAAACAGCCAACGTTGGCAGCTTTCCCAGAAGGAACATGGGCGATGAAGCCCTGCAAGAGGGAGGAATCCATCTCCAGATGTTCAGGCTTTGGTCCATGGATTTGGTGACATGACCAGAGCCCCTCCATGCCTCTCCAGAACCTCATGCTGCCACATGCAGTGGCAGAAGGGGGAGGAGAGAATCCAGCCCCCATGCAAACATCAGGGGTGCAGCACTACAAACGTGGCCTTCTATCAAGCAGCCAAAGGAGCAACTCGTGGTGATGCAAGAGAGCCAGAGAAAGACAATATTCCCCTTCATGGCTACACCAGCCTTATTTTCTACCACCACTCCCCTGTCCTGAGAGGGTGAGCCTCAAGCAAGCACAGGAGAAGTGACAGGAGGGAAGGGATGTGTACAGGGAAGAGCCCTCAGGCACTCTCGAAGGCTGGCTGCCTTTCCCAGGCTCTCCTTGCAGACCACCTCTACCTACAGCGCAGCTCTCGGGGAACACGCCAAGCACACATGCTTGGCAAGAATCACAGTATGACCTACAGCATCACACGGACATCATCCAAACCTTTCAACCATAGGACCTGACGCCTCCAGTTGCACGTAGCGGACTCCACAGGGAACTACTCTGCAGTATGGTGCCGCTTTCCCCAGAGAGGCTGTTGCACAGGCAGAGTTGCTCCCTGCTGCCTGCCCCCTTGGCTTCTCCATCTCTGCATCATGGAGAGGGGTCCTTGGCCCAATGGCCCCAGTGTCACCCCCAAAGCAAGCCCTGCCTGCTCCCTGACCTATATCCCATCCACCACCGACCCAACTCCTCTGCTAACTAATGCACCTCCTTCCCCCAAACCCCATTTATTTACCCCTTTACTGCACGCTGAACTGAGCATCCAGAACACCATCATCACCTTATCTCATGTGCTTTGATTCCTCATCTACAAAGCAGAGAGATACCTGCCCCCTCTCCCAGCAGGGACATACCACCCCACAAATCAAACACAGCGCACCCCAGCGCTACGGACTATTTCATGACACACACATCCCTCTACTCCATCATCACACTAACTTTGGGTTTTTTGCAAAGCAGGCATTTCTCTTTTACATTTTTTTGCTTGGGCAATGTTCTCATCAATTTCCAATAAAGACAGACAGAGGTTTCCCTGCCCCAGCGCTTAGAAATGACATCCAGAATGTAACACAGGCAAGAGAATTAGAGCGACAAAATTATGGGGTCACAGAGAAGAAAAGCGTGCGCTATGAATTTCTCCTTGGATGCTTTTAAGTGTTCCCAGGTATTACAGCTACATTTCACACAGGCACAGGAGACGGGTGAGGAAAGGAGTAAAACAGCGTGAAGCCCACTCTGTGGCAGATCATTCGAGTATCCTCTGCCAGCCGTACACCCGCGTGGCTTTTCTTACTGCTCATCTGCACCACCACTTGTTCTGCCGTTCCAGTTTGCACCCCACATCAGGCAGCATGAGGCTACACCCTTTGTGCTGCCTCTCGGGCTGGAGTGGGCTTGGTTTTCATCCTGGATCAGCCACCACCTCCGTGTCTATTAGACAATTTGTCCAGGAGACACCTGCCATGGGAAGCCTCCCTGCAGGTTAAACCAAGCCTAAGGTTAAGTCAAGGACTGGTTAAGCACAGGACAATCCTGCGCTCCACTACAGCAGCACTGCTAGATCCTGTCTTTAAAAAGAAAGCCACACAAGTCTGAAGTCCTTAACTGACTTTGGAAAAGCCAAAATTTGTCTTCATGCTGACTTGGATATTCTGGAAATGAAGGCATTCTGACTCCAAAATCTGTTTGGAAAATGGGATCAAGGTGCTCAGACATTTATTTTCACTATCTGGTCATGATGCAATGAAACAAAGCAGCTTTCTGTTTCTCTTGTGTTTGTAAAAGGAAATTTTTTCCATTACAGCAGGGATTTCCCTATAATGGGACTCGTTATTCCCCTGTATGATTCACAGCAACAGACAATTAACAAAAATAAAACCGCACTGAAATAACTCCAATAGATTAAGTAATCCCCTTCTCTTCTATTTCATGTCTATACAGCTAAGGAAGATTAGGAGGAACCCTGCACCGCCAAGAGGAAGATGAAGATAAAATACTAATGGTGCCAACAGCACAGCCTGGGCTCTCGCTCTGGAGCCCTGGTCAGAGCCCAGCTCCTGGAGCTGTGCTGAGAACACACGGGCTCAGCTTCAAGACCATCAAACAGAGGAGCAATTGGAGTGGGCTAAATGGAGGCCATTGGCATATTTCTGCATTTTCAGTTCCAGCCCAGGGCTGCTGTGAGGCTGCAAATCATGTCTGGCTCACAAGCCCCTACGGCTCTCACTGGTTTTGGGACTTCTGGAGAGACACAGTAATCACTGCAAGCGGGACGAAGGAAATTATGCAGCTTTTACCTCCATAATGGGGCTCGACGCAAGGACTTTGGCTTCGATGTTGGTCTCACTGGGAGAACCACCGACGGTTGCAAGGAAGCGCATGACGTATTTGGCAGAGACTGTCTTTCCAGCACCTGACTCTCCACTCACAATGATGGACTGGTTCTTCTCATCCCTGTTGCAGCAGAGAAGAAAAGCTTTTGAAAGTTAATCCATTTTCTTGTTAACAGTTCATTCACAACATGCAATATTCTACCATCTTCACATGTCTCCATCTCCCTCGCCTCGCTACCGCCTACATTACGGATGCTGGATTTATTCTGCATTCTACCAAAGTAATGGTGAATAATGCACAACTGTGATACACCTCACCTGAAATGTAAAGGACACCCTGAACATCTTCAGAACATCTCCATGAGCTTGCAGGGAGAACAGGAGGTGAACCCCTGCAAGAAGTGCTGCTGCTTTCTTCACCCCTGGAGCAGGCAGCCCAGCGCCGGGGAGTCCATTCCTTATACACCACAATAACAAACTTTTGCTGCGTGACATTTGTCTGGAGAACTATTAACAGGCATTGGCTAAATATCATCTTCTAATATTATATATTGAATTTTTCCCCCCCAACACCTTCACTCAAGCATTTGAGTTTTTGATGACCAAACAAGAGCAGTTAGTTGTGAAACATGGTCAAGTAGCCTACTGCTGAGCTATTAAAACAAAGATAGCCAGAAAAGTTCCTCTGTGCTCAAAATATATTAAAAATACTGAATTTGTGAAATCAAGCACCCTAAAATTAGGAATTAGCAAAAGTCATGATTCCCTGTGCAATTATATGAACATCAGTATTTTCACACATAGGCCAAGATCTGGTTGAAACTTTGAGAACAGTAATACAAGGCACGTCTCTGACATTAGACTCACACCATCCATTCATCCCCAAATCCTGCCAAGTCACAAGTCACTGCTTCAAAGCGTGGAGGTACTTCTGGGACCAAGGGGTAAGAAAAAGAGCTTAAAGAGTTTAAAAGAAATTCCTGATAGACATCACGAAGTGAAGTTTGTTCAGCTCCTGAAGCTTTGCAAAACAAAATAGTTTTTAAGAAGGGCTCGCTCATTAACAGAATGATTAGGCAGCCTCACATGCTCCAAGTGAACTCCAAATTTGCTTACAAAAGGATACAGGTGCACCAGTACCAGGATAACAAAATTCAAGCAAATAAACGCCGGACCTTTTTATCTGCACATATGAAAATGCTGTGTAGGACTGGGAGGTACTACCCTGGCAGCGAGGGGCTGATCCAAACCCTCCTCCAGACGTGATGGGAGCAGCCACTGATGCCCCGTGCCCAGGCTGGCTCTGGGTCTCAGCAGTAGCTCTAATGACATCAGAACCAGCACAGACCAGCAGATACCTACAGGGCACATGGCTTTGGGTGGGGAAGTTGAGGGTGCATTACTGTGTGTAGCTTTTGAGCCTTGCTCAGACCACACGACTCATCCAAATGCCTTTTTCTACTTGCAACATTGATCACACACACAAAAAAACTTGCACAAGTCATCATGGCTATATTAAAATATCCAGTCCTTCCCACCACAGGTGCACATAGTAGCCACTAGATACACCCCATTAATTAATTAATCAGTTTAAAGTACTTGAGCTGCAAGGCAGAGAAGGGCCAAGGCAGTAAGAGGAGCTTTTTTCAGGAGAGCTACATCCCTCTAGGCAAATATTTGCCAGCACCAGGAGCAAGTGCCCCTGCTGAAGTGGGAATCCACTCCCCAAGGCATCATTGGCACATGGCAAACACAGCAACTCTGCAATCTGACCACAAACTTTGGGAGGGAGGGAGTTTTCACTGCAGAATTTGACAGAAGCTCCAAAAACACCAGAGCTGTTGGGGTAAGCTGTAAGTATGCAACTGAGTGTTTTTAAATAAGACCAAATAAAACTTCTCAGACTCTGCCTGGCTTTCCCGAATCACACCTGAATGCAGGCACACAAAATCCTATAGACGAGCACAACAGTGAATTTACACCTTGCAGTTCTCTTGACACCTGGAAACACCATAAAAATGCATTTCAGTTTAGATGCTCAATCCAAGTTTATACGAGCAAGAGATCAGAACAGAGACTAAATGATTGCCATATACCGCTCTTACACTTTCAATAAAAACACAGACGTGCTCCAACACCACCCCATTACTCATCTCCACTGTCAGACATGCACATCTTCCTTCTAGGCTCAAGATAACTGGTTTGGAGAAAACCTCAGTCAAGTCAAACGTGACATTTTGGTGCAAACCACAATTTTCTGAAACTTCCAGCAGGAGAGGACCGATGAGCTAATTTCAAGCCGTGTTTCCATTTTTCAGGGATCAATTCATAAAGTGTATCTTAATCCATCCCCTGGCCAGCTCCACCACTCTCCTGAGCATCCATCAGCAGGAAGGCACGAGGAGCTTCCAACCACTCCAGCTATCAGGCAGTTAATGCAAAAATACCGTCCGTGAACCCAGCACAACCTCACCCAGGCAGCCACAACCCAGAGCTGGTGTTCCCAGGGACTCATCCCAGGCGGGGACAGCCTGCACATCTCACCCGAGACTCGCTAAGTCACAGCTGTGTGCCCTCCACGTGTCTAGGCAAAGCCACCATGACCATGACTGTCCCATAGGCAGCCAGCTGACATGATCTGGATACAGGGCTGCCAAGGCACCGGTCTTACACCTTCAGACTTCCATGGGTGTGTGATAAAGCTCTACTTGGAGCACAAGCCATCACAGACACAAATCCAACAGAGAAAAAACAGTGCCAGGTCCAAAGTGAGGAAGGAAGGAAGACTAAGCACCAAAACCAGAATATGCTGGATAAACCCACAGCAGCGGTTCCTGGGACAGGCAAGGGCAGTGATTTATCATGGTTTATCTCTGGTTAAAGTAAGAAGGAAGTTTCACACCTGCTTTGATCATCTTCATGGACAATCACTTCCTGAGCTCCAGCAGTGAACGCCCCACGTTGGCCATCAGTAGGACGGAACATAAAAAACTCACATCAGCTACAAGGGGAGGAGCAGGGAAAGGCTTTAGCCTGGGCTGCAAGTGTGGATGAATGGACTATCCTTCCTTGGAGGTGAGGGAAAAACGGAAGAAAGAGGCAGCGACCAAGATCTCTACCAGCAAGCACTGGCCCTGCAAAAGCAGCTCTGCAAATGCAAAGGTGGCTTGGCTTAGAGCTACGTTTGCCTAAAAGTTACTTGAGAACTATTGCTTCTTGCTCTTCTCAGCGTAACAGGTACTGCCTGAGCGACACATTTCAGGAAACACTTCCCTACCGCTTTTTTCTTGAAGCCAGAAAATGAAAATGACACCAGTCTGGGAGAGACTCTTCCGCTGAATGAAGCCAATAAAGCTCAACAAAGAAGAATCATGCATTACTTGCCATCCAGCCAGCACTGCCAGAATGTAATGTTTTGCAATCTGTTTTTTTTCTATCTACGATTCCTAATTAAGACCTCTTGTTACCAATTTTGACCTCCTTAATAACCTCTCCGTATCAGCTATTGGGGTGTGCCCAGCTGCAGGAGGCAGAGACCAACCCACCAGGAAGCACATCCAAGGAGCTCTCCAGACCCACAGTCTCCGCAGGCTTCAGGTCCCATCACAAACTGCATTTTATGTGGCATCCCGAGAGGTTTATTCCTCCTTCTGGCTTGGGCCTTTTTAAAAGTAGCATCATTCTCCAGAAGATACTGAATCTAGGGATAAAAACCACAGCCAACACCACTTACTCCTATTGCAGCCACTCTGCCATGTCATGTCTTCTACAGAATTTGTCCTAATGACTGATGTGTACCTACAAGAAATGGGCCAGGTGGGTTCTCCATGGCACAAGAAAACTTCTAGAGGTGTATTATATTAATAAAACAAAAAAGAGAAAGCTGCTGGCTTGCAAAAAAGACAGTAAGGCCAATCAAGCTCCTACTTTTGCAGTAACATGTCTCCTCTGTTGCTTTTTTTGGTGGAAAGTGCATGTTCAGACATTTATTTTCCAACCTGAGGAATAAAAGCCTTCTGGAATAAAGACTACAGAGACTTCCCCTTCTTTGGTGTACAAGTTAACCAACTGCTGGTGCCAGCAGGGAAAGACAGATGAACCCCATGGAGCACCTAGTAACAAACAGGCTCCTCCAGTGAGCAGAAATGGTTAAAACCAGGCAGGATTTGTTTGTATTCAGAGTGGAATAAAATATACTGAAATGCCTGGCCACTGTGTAGGTGCGGTATGCAACACGGCTGCTTGAAATACAGTCAATTCTGGCAGCATCAGCACAGAAGAAAATTATTATGGAAATAAAGCCTGGATAAAATGAAATGTTGTGCTTGAAAACAGCTCTGCTGCAGCAGGGCAATACTGTCACAATTCCTCCGGGGATTTATGTGGTTCCTGTGCACCTCGGAGCTGCCACCATGGCTTGTTAAACTGCTACAACACGCATCAGTGCTCTTCTGCCTATGGCAGAGAGCTCGCGTGGTGCACACATGCCAGGACACAAGATGCTCACACTCGTCCAGCAACGCAGGATGTGTGTGAGAGCCAAGCAACCAGGCCTGTGAAAAACTAAGACAAACAGCCTGGGAAAGCAAAAGTTGAGGCTGATTGAAGAAATGCCTCAAACATTCGTAAGACAAAACCATGAGTCCGAGGGTGCTTTCTGTGGAGGCTGAAGCTGATAAGGCTGCCCGATGTATCTGGGGGAGAGAGCCCTGTGGAGACAGGACGGCTCTGCCCTGGGGCACCTGGGCAGATTGCAAGGGCCATGTGTCCGGTGAATGAACTTTGCTTCATTCTCCACGAAATGCATATTAAAGTTGACACCCCTCAATATGCTAACGAGGGCTGTCATGATCATGCTAGTGACATCATCCCATGGAACACCTGACCCTTCCCTGTACATGGGATACGTAGGTCTGTGGGTTGACCTAGGGGACGGACCCAAGGAAAGTGGGTATAAATCAAAGGGGAGAAGAAAGGGCTCTCGCTCTCTCTGCCCCTCTCCCTGCCCCTGTCT